AACCATATGCTTCATCATTTGACTCTAGTTATATGAATATAATGCAGCTAAGTGCATCAACAATACTTCTTTAATAATCCAAAAAATAGCACAATGCTATATCCAACAACTATAAACAATAATGACCCTATCTAACAACATTTCAATATAAACCTTCCACTACTCTTCCTTGTTAACGAGACAAGTCTACTCAAAAGTAGAGATCTTGCCTTACAAATTAAGTCCCTGGCTTGTGACCCGTATAGCAGAGTTAAAAGGTGACTTAGACTAATAAACTGAATATTACTGTTTGTTTTTGTGCAAGCATGTTAAACAGTTCATATGGACAAAGCTCGAATTCCATATTAAAAATATAGTAACATAATCCGGTGTTAATGTTAGACAATACATCATGACCCTTCAGTGAAAGCATCACGCTTCCCACAGGAAAAGAATGAATCTAATACCAATGCAGTGGCGTGCGGTCATGCAAGCGTAGGCAAGCGCCGCTTGCCTAAGCATTTTACCGAACAAAAAATTTTTGGATCAATCTCTGAGCAAAATCAGTTTAAAATTTTCGGTTCTAAACAATGTCACTGTAATCTTTTGTCTAAATTGTCTTTACAGTTGAAATGCTTGCTATTTATACGCGATTTACTGTCGTGGTTTTCGGTTTCACTTTGCTACACTTGTAAGATGAGTCAAGTGGATTAAATACACCTTAAAAATTTCTTATTTATTAACCAAGGCAAGCGCGCTTGCCTTCGGAGCTCAATTTGAACATTTGCGCATGCGTTAATCTAGATTTGGAGGCTTCTTCTTCGAGGAATATCGAGAAAAGGCAAGCGGCGCTTCTAAGGGCGCCGCTTGATAGCGATTGGTGAACAGTCTTGTACGCTCGCAATTTTAAACACATATCAGCGCACGAATAATATTCGTATATTCAACACATTGGACATCCGAATTATTCACGCCGTTAATGTTATCGTTTATTAAAAGATGACTGAGAGCGAAAGGTAATGTTCTGATTTCTAATATAAAGTAGTAGGTGCTTTACTGGTTATTTTATTATTTTCTGCGCACAATGTGCGTAAACAAGCAGGGGCCGCAGTCTGCAGAGATATCGAAATGCACGCAAACGTGTGTTGTGGTAAAGTATGACTAGCATTATGACCAAAACACTATGCTCTTGTCAGTCTTGTGTCGTTGAATTCGTAAATTAATGACTAAAAATAAAAGGTACAAGATACTAAATAATAAACACGACTCTCCGATATTCTGAAACGTACGAGTCAGTGCCAGACACATTTTGAAGAACGGGAGAACACGTTGCCATGACGTCATTATACCAAAATATAAACATTAAACAACGCCATGGCCTCAGTTTGTAACACACCGTGCCAATTTTGTGCGCGAAACTGGCTGTTCTTAATTGTTATAATCACGACTGCTACAATACATTTCGCGCCTATTGTCTTGCAATTTATGTGTGTAGAAGATATTATCTGTAGCATGTAATACAAGATTATGATATTGACAAGAGCTTCCTTTTGCGTAGATTTTTTCAATACTGTTTCAGTCACGACAGATACATTTTTATCGACAAAGTACTCCCAGAAATCGCGGGAAATGCGCTCCAGTAGCCTTCAAAATCCAAAAATTTTCTGGGGGAGCATGCCCCCGGCTTGCCGCGAACCTCACCCCCAGCGCTTGCCTATTAAATTCGGTCACCGCACGCCACTGTGCCAATGTTAAATAAACAGGAATATTCAGTTGATTAATCTATGATATACCTTTCGAATTGTAACTCTGCTATATCGGTCACAAGCCCGTGACATGTGACGCAAGACTCTCTACTTTTGAGTAGACTTGTCTCGTTAACAAGGAAGAGTATAGTAGTGGAAGGTTAATATTCAAATATTGTTACGTAAGGTCATTATTGTTTATAGTTTTTGGATCAAGTATTATGCTATTATCTTTTTTTGTATAGTTTAGTAACATTCCAACTATTTAAGTTCTTTAATAGAATAAGAAGCGTGAGCGATTATCAACATTCAACAACGAATTGTATTTGAATGGACAGGACAGAGACAATCTAAATTTATAGACTTAAACACAGATTATTTCAGCTTCAGGTACAACACTACATTTCATTTAACAGTAAATGCAATTCGACTACTTCGATATTTATATTGTAAATTTCCTAATATAAAACAATTCTGATGTCTGACATTAGTGACATACAAATTTTTGGACAACAGCATGGATAAGTTTGTTGTTGATAAAAAAACATCTCATGCTTAGATAGATGAGTATGTAAATAGTATACATTTTCGCAAGCACAAATACTTAAAATATCCTCAAAGTGATAGTGAATTTGAGACCGAGGACATTGAAGTAAATTCCGCCAAACCAGTCCTTCAAACGGATTCAGGCACTACCAGTGGGCACTACCATTAATATTGCCATGGATACCAATATACATGTACAGTGTTAATTCTTATGGCTAAAGATAGTAGTATGTGAAGTTTGTGTTACATTTCTCAAAACTATCAAAATGTTTGCATGCACGGCAAAATCATCCCCAATATGGACCAAAAATGGAGCGAATCCATGAAAAAAATATTGAAAATCATTTATTACAATTATTACACATAATTTTAGTTTTAATAGATAATAAACTGTTGCGTTGTGAAACAAAAATAAAACCTTGAAAATTTTTAGCTTGAAAAAATTTAAGTTTTATAAACTTTCCCGTGATCAGTTTTTATATTTAACATGTCCTCATACAAGACTGATACAAAAATACAACTTGCTTAATCATGGAAAAAAGTTAACCACGGCACCTTAGAGTAGAGTAATAAAGTTTGTGTATATTCACCTTCACCCTATGGTTGCCGGGTGACAAATCTGTAACTATAGGGAAGCCAACTGATAATGACTGGAAAAGTAAACGCTGTGATTTTAAATTGTGTCCTTGATGGGTACATAAAACTTGATGGGTTCCGCACAAAATAGTTTGAAAGCTTCTACATTTATAATTGTTTGATAAAACAACTATGGGATTTAGCTTTCACATGATATCAAAAATTTTCACACCTTGGTCAACGTTTTCCGCTTCAGCTTCTCTTTGGCAGTAAACATTAACCTCGGTCAGTCGGTCTTAATAATTCTTGCAATCATACTCAACCTCATCAAATAACAGTTAAGTTACTGTTAAGTATTCTTTAGCGTTGCCCTTCGTACAAGCTTGTATCATACGTTGAATCATGCAACCTTCAATTATTAAAGAAAAATTCAAACCTTTGTTTCATCCTTGAGAGATTCTGTGTCAATCTTCAATTTCTTTGCCGCGGTGACCGAATCACCAAGCTCTTTCATTCTCGAAAGTTTCTTCTGCGCATCCACAAGCAAATTTTTTATCTATTCGCCATGAGCAAATGTGATAAATTAAAGTGATCATTAAACGTTAATAAATTAAAAATATCCTCAAAAACAGCAACGAAGATCCAGAAAACATTTGCATCATCATCTATTTGTTTAGTTGCTACCATAACTAACCTCCACAAACTCTGTCTCAAAAAAGTTGTATTGCAAAGATTGAACAACACATTTTTGATGGTACGTCCACTCTTGCTCAAACTTGTCCTTAACTCGAGACATTTCGTCAACTAACTGTTGTAAATCGGCAACACTGGTTTGTGAGATTGCCAAGCAAGAAGACATTTGCCTCTCAAGCAAATCTTCGTCACCCTATGAGATAATTTACATATTAAATTGTGAGATAATTTACATATATTTAACTGTGAGATAACATGAGTAACGCCTAAATGTAAGTGCAAGGCGAAGATCATAGCAAACTCCCGTCCTATTAAAAAGGACATTCCAGAATACTTGGTTCTAATCACTCCATTACATACATAATCCGCAGATAATCCGCGAAAAAACCATGACGATAACACGTACTATAACACGCACAGTTATGTAAACAAGATGGCGGAAAGACTTAAGAAAATGTGTGTCAGCCAAAAATGTGTGTTTTTGAGCAGTTTGAAAATTGTAGTGTATATGATCCCTTGGTTCAAACATAAATGTAATGAGTACACTAGTATTAATGCCAGCCGCTACCGCAACCCTTATTATCTATCTAAACATTATGACAATCTAAAGCATAATCGCTAATAGACAATATTTCGACCCCATAAGTTCGTAGATAACATTTATGATTTTGATTAAGCCCTTAATAACAAAGCTTTAGGTCTTTACGGAGAAATATTGGAGGAAGGTCTTTTTGTACAGACCGATCCCGTGGGGCGAGCTTTATACAAAAAGACAGACGAAGCTCGCTTTCTTTCTCGTCTCTGCTGTTTTGTACGGGTGGCCTTTCACTTTCCTCATTTTTTTTCAGAAAAATGAAATCGTTTAAAATTGTATCTGTTTTCCGAGAGTTTTTCCTTCTACTCACATTTGCTAACATGTTTTTTTTTGTTTTTTTTTGCGTTTTGCGGTTTGCTTTACGAAGTTTGTTTACATTTGACTGTAAAATTACGCGTTTTGGACCGTAATCGATTACGGGAAAATAATGGAGCGGCAAAAATGTTTCTGAACCAATCAAAGCGCGCCATTTTGCCAGAAGTGACGCTTGCCATATAATAAAATAAATTAATCGCCAAAATTTTTTCTTTCCAAATATGGTGGTACCTCGACGTCACTATGAATGTAGACCTTGAATTTTCCGATTTATTCCGATTTATTCCGACTTCTGCTTGAAAAGGTCAATTTGGGACACATTTTTTATTTGAACTTAAAATTTCATCCTCTTAAGTCCAACTTTAAATAAAATAAATTCCTTCAAAAAACACTCGTATTTGCTATATTTTCCATTGGTGTAGGTAGCTCAGTCACACGCATATAATGCTGTAAGTGTACAGAGAGTGCGTTTTACTGCAACAAATATTTTGCTATTTTAACATTTAACTTGTTGAACTTGATCAGTTTATCACGTTGTTATAAAGGAACATTTACATAATTTTACTGGTTAACTCAATGGCCAATTGAAAATATGAATATTTTGATTAGCAGGGGCCGGTTGCACGAAGCCTGGATAGCGTTATCCATTGGATAGCAAAAATTTTAAAACTCGTAAAAAAGGTGTTTATTTTTTTTCTTACGACAAAGAAAGTTTGTAATCTTCGAAACAATATTTTATTTCAGTAATTACACAGTTCAAATTGTATATTTTTTCTTCTAAGAGATTTTATGAACGTTTAAAAAATTTTTCTATCCAGTGGACAGCGCTATTCGGCCTTCGTGCAACTGGCCCCTGATCAACAAAGTTCCAAGCAACTTTCGGGAAAATTTTTGTACTTTCAGTTCATTAGACGTCGTAAAAAACAGTTATATTTTAATTCTCAAATCAATATATAATCTTCAAACTTTGAAATAGTAAATAATACTTCATTTAAACATTTACCAAACGGTTACTCTTTTAGATGGCCTGATCCAAACACGCGGGAATAAAGGATAGTTAAGACAAGTGCGCGAAACACGCGCCAAACACGAGTTTTGCACCCCTTTTCACCAATTGCACCGCTTTTCTTACCTCAAACAACACTCCCATGTGTTGGGATCAGGCGATCTAAACACCCGAAACCGTTTATTAAATGGTTTATAACATAACAACAAAAGGGCAGTGCTGTAGGCTTTATTTAAACAAGCGGAAATATGGAAGCTAAATTCTCTCAAGAGAACAAAGCCGGAAAATTTAGTAAAGAACGAAGTCAAAACCACGAAAAAGTAAAATTACAGCAAGGTTATTGAAATGAATACTTTGGAAAAATTACCAATCTTGATTTAAGTGTGCATTTACTTGGTTAGAAATGCACTTCAAGTCAATTTAGGCAAAAAATCGTCTTTGTTTTCCGATATGTTGAAAATTCTCATGACAGCGTACTGACGACAACATAATTTTCGTGTTTGGATGACTTGATCCAAACACGGGCATAGAACAGTCAGAGCACGCGTTTAGCTGATGTTAATTTATATTAAACATGCACTAAAATGGTTTCCGAATTTAGATGGTCTCCTGATCCAAACACGCGGGAATTAAGCGATTGTTATGAAAAACGCACGAATGCCAGAATTTTGCACCGTTTTTATTCACTCGAGCAACATTCTCAAATTTTTGCTTAAATCAATGGGAATAAAGAAGTAAAAAACACGCGGAAAAAGTTGTACTGACAGTCTGTAGACTTTTTAAAGATTATTTAGCTACGAAAAAAAGCGAAACAAACCGCAAAAATCATTTAATGTGTAGCACAAAAAACTTTATAACTTCCTTACAAAAATAGTATGAAAGCTTCAGCGTTTATAATTATATAATAAATAATACGCTTCGAAGATAACATTGACTTCAGTCTGAATGCTTCTTGATAATCTTACTCAACCTCAACAGATAATTGTTAATTATATTAAGTTAAAAGCATTTGTTACAAACCAACTGGATGGTATTCATACTAATTCTCCTCCATAGTTGATTATTCCTCAAGTAAGAAGTACTAAACCAAACAATTTCTACAATCTTTTAAAGAACTATACCTAAGCTACATTCCGAATGTTGTTGCAAATACAGGAAACAATTTTGGAGACCAACTGCATGTTATAAAATAGCACAGTATTTTCAGCAATGAAATGTTGAAACTAAACAAGTACGTGCTTATTTCATTCAAATTTTAATCAATGAATAACTTGCGGCTTTTCGTTGAATTCGCTTTAATATATATTCAAAATGATTGCTATATGTTTCTCTATGAATAGAATGCTTGCCTTGTCAACAATTTATCGTATAGATAGCTAATTCAAAATCCAGATAATTACACTTTGATATTTTATGTATTTAGCTCCAAACTCGTGTTTGGCAAGTTTTTATTCGTAATCTCAATTGAAAAGAATCAAAAGATAGTAATGAAACAAATTCCACAAAAAGCAAACCAAATCACTGAGTGTTAATATACCTTCATGCATTTTAGCTGCGTTTTGCCCGTCATAAGTGCATTATCAATGTCGTCACGAACATCAATCCACATTTGACCATGAACATCTAGCATGTGCTCTGTCTCTTGGTTATCAGATATAGAGAAATTTGTCTTATCGAATATCTGCTTTAAAGTTACCAAGCGAGAGGCGATAGCACGGCAATTTTCACGAAACCTATCAATGGCCTAAAAGTACCATAAAAGTTATTGAAACATTCTAGTCACAACTTCATGGAATTTATTATTATCCTATCTACACCGGAAACCTATGTGTCATTAACTCTTATAGTGCACTTTATTTTTTAATCGAAGAAAAAGAAAAATTCTCTGCATGCACAACGAGTTTCATATAATCACGTTAAATGTCAAAAACTCCGAAACCGCTAAAAATTTCTAACATTGACGACAAGGCCACCAAGATCCCGGATGGATATCTCAGCAGAACATTTTTGTTTTCCCAAAGTTACTTAAATACTGAAATTGTAAAACCATCGCACAAAGTAATTACCAATGTTATCAATTTTTACCATCATAAGTTGTGTAGAATTAGCCAAATTTTAACTTCAAATCTTGAATGCAATGCTTTTACAACCATTTTTGCTCACGATGACGTCATAACGATTACAAAAGTTGCAGTCGCGGTTGTTTGTGATATAAGTAAGTGGGGTTTGTTTTTGAGGATAAAAATTTATGAAAAAACAGCATAAATCATGCATTTTATATTTCTAAGGATGTCCGGACAGAATTGGTTGGGCAAGAGAGAATTCTTTATTGGAGTGTTACCTTGGTATAAATGACACCTGTCCTCAGAACTATGGTGACTGAGGAGAACAAGCAACATGCTCCAACCAGTTCATGACGTATTTTACAGTTAGTGCTCTCAAATGTTGAACATAATTGAAGAATAATCGCATTTTTATAATCACCTATAAAATGGCTTATGGTGTGGCAAACGTGAAAAAAACACACAAAATGAAAAAAAGCTAAGAAAGGTTAGTAAAACAATCAAAAAGCATATTCAATTTTCTGAAACAAGAGTCATGACAGAATCAAGCATGTACTTAGTTTATGACAAACTTACAGCAAAGTCATAATTTAATTCTTCTAGTCTATAAAGTTTCTTTCTTTGTTCCACTTATGTCTTGTCTGAGGTGCTTTCATTTCTTTTTTTCACAATAACCATGCAATGTTCACGAATTAAAGCTCGAAATTTCAGAATCAACAAAAGATTTCCTAATATCCCCCAGATCAACAGTGCAACTTTCCTTGCGTTTCATTTTATATTTTTCGTTTTTATCAGCTTCATTATTTTTTAACAGCAAAGCGACCTCGCAAAACGTCATTAGAACCATGATGAAAACTATGCACAAACTATGCACAATAAAAATTTTATGGTTTCTACTAAAACTATGTCTCACATTAAGGGGAAAAAAGAGACATCATTAGCCTAAAAGGCTGGTCTATTCTCACAAAGAAAATCTAACTTAGATACTCTCTTGGCCTTGAAGGATTTGTTTCTTTGTTAGGAAGTACATAGATAATGATTCCTTTAGGCTGTTGAGTATTGGGAGAGACATTGAGTTTGGACATACAGCAACACAATGCCCTTTGCCACCTCAGATTGTCTATTTTAAATGATTGAATTGGCCAAGTTGTGAATATGCACTGATGATGACGTCACACGTGTCAAGCATGGCTCAATTAATAGAATGCAAAGAAAGCAGCGAAAATCACAAGCTGTGAAAATCAGTCGGAAAATACCACTTTTAAGTAAGTTTGCAGAAAACAGACTTCGACAGAAAGAATTTTCTGTAAAATCAATAAAAATGGCTGCAAAAATTTTATTAATGAGCGCTTTCAATACGGCATAACTTGAGGTGAATGTTCGCATTCCTAAAAAGTATTTTGACAATTTTTGGAAAAAATTTCGAACTTACGGTTCTGTATTGTACCCACTCTTGATGATTGTACATAAGTGAGCCACCGAGACATGGGGTCAGCTGACTCTTGTCCACATACTCATACAAAACATTGATGTCATTTAAAATGGTGACCTGCAAAACATATTATTTGCCCAAAGTTGGAATATCACTCTACTCGACATTCAGGAAAGTTGTAATCCCATATTATATCAAACAATGTTGCTAGCTGGCTAGAGTTGATTTGCATAAAACTTGGTTTCAATTACTTGAGCAATCGAGCATAAGTAATTTGTAAAAATGTCAATTTTCTAGAAAACTTGCAAAACCAGTAATCCAATGCATTCATCAATACTTAAATTGAAGCATGGCTGACCAACCAAAAATAGGGGATAAATTGCTATTTTTTCATTGAATTTTTAAAACAAAATTACTCTTGCTATATTTCACATGTTTTGCGCAGTACATTGATCAACGACGATTCTCATATTACCATTGAAATAGCCGACATCGATGGCATCGAATATGCTCCCACACCCACACACACACGCACACCTACCCAATTATTGTTCAGGCTACGTGCCTAGACTAACAACAACTCCTACCTGAAAATTGTATGATTGGTTAGATCGAAAACTGCTTTCGGAATATTTTTGAAAGAATCCTTGTGGCTTGATGACATATGCATTTTGAATGGCAGCTGTGGCAGTGAACAAAAACTAAATCAATTAAAAAATCAAAACATTACATTCAGCCTAACTTTATTAATGACAAATGTATCGTCTGCAAGGCAAGCAACAGGCAAGAGATTTTGAAAATGCACACGCGAAACTTGTTTATGAGGAGTATTTCGAGAGCAGTCAAAATGCGCAGTTATCTGGGTTTATTATGGTTGTTTGTTTTCAAATACTTGAGTAATTTTGTTGACATGAAATAAACATTTTATAGAATAGAGACATTCATAATTATAATATCAGATTTAGAAGCAAACTGAAGCTATAAGTAAAAACATACATAGTATGGTACAATGCAATTTGAGAATGAAACTCTAACTCTTTAGGACAACCAATAAATGCAAACTCACAATAAATCAATAGAGGCATATTAAATTGCAATACCATAATTACGGAGGGTCTACATACAATAAATGATGAATATTCACCAACCCCAACCCTCACTTAACGCTCTAGTTTCGCCCGGTCGACGGTCATTAAAAGAGAGTCATATTAAAATCAATGATATACTTCTTATGGATAATAAATCAAGTGCTCAGTAGTTCAGACAAATTTCATTTAATTAAAAAGAAATCAGCGACACCATTTATGTTTAAAGTAAATGGTTTGAGCCCGGGAGTATCGTTACATGTTTTGTGATGTAGATCGTCCAAGTTAGTAGAGTCTGAGAAGGTCTGCTGTTGTTGATGTTGACTGACGTTTCGACAACCTTAGCGGTTATCATCTTCAGAGTCAAATGAGGAGTAAACGTCAGGTGTAAACGTCAGATGTAGCTGTTCTGTTTGTTAATGTGAGTGCGAAATCATCAATCTCATCTGTATGTAGTGCCGTGATTGTGTCATCTACGTAGCGGAATGAAAAAGGTAGTACATGTCATTGGTGGTGAGAATGGGGGGGGGGGCATAAGGAGGTTACAGCCCCCCTAATAATTCAGATGAAGGAGCTAAGCCTCCCCCAATCGAAGAGCTACCTTCAATATTTTTCCCGTAATATATATTTGTTTTTGACAAGGGAAAATCATCGACACAGATGGACTCTTAAATACTGACAGCCATTTTGAGAGCTTGCTTCTCCTATAGACTTCCATTTAGTTGAAGTAGTGTCAGGCGCTGTTTACATGATCCCGGCTAAGTGAGGATTTCGAGGGATTGAAAAAAGGCAAAGATTTAAGCGTAAAAATTACAACTGTTTGTTAAGCGCCACAAGTCATTCCTGCTGAAATTCATAAATTAAGCCAAATTGGTTATTGTAATTTTAAAAGTTTTGCGTAGCTATTAAATCAGAATATTGTGAAATTTCTCGGGAAAATTTATCTGATGACGAGTATTGAATCATTTCCATTTGCCTGAATCATTTAACGCTTGCCTGAATCCCGGCTGCCCGGGCTCATGTAATCAGCCCCTAACATTCTTCATTTCATTTAGAAATCGTTTGTTTTTACAATGAGTGAACACAGGAAAATTAACATAGCAGGACGAAATTTGCGGGCTGGCTACGCCACTGCTCTCAATAGGATTCGCTCCAAAGTATTATAAAATGGAAATATGTTTTCAAGAATTTATTCTAGCCACCCCTGGATCCGCCAATGCTTTCAACTTTTATGTTTTAATTGTTTTTGCTTTAACTAATACTCTACAAACCTTAATAAATCCCAGAGGCGCAGAACTGTCATCTTTATTGAACAGTTTTGAATGTTAGTTAAATTAGGCCAGCTTCAAACGTCACATTTTACATGAGCCAAATGCATTAAAGACATGAGAAAATGAGATAAAATGCCTCATCATCTTTTTTTTAAATGCATTCGGCACATTTAAAATGCGACGTATGAAACGAGCCTTATTGTACATAATCACTTTAGCGAAAACATATAATTAATTTATGCGAGTTCCGGTTTTTGCGACACCCTGTATAGTGAAAATAATCATAAGTCTGTTCATAAACCAAAGCTTAATTAATGTACAGTAAATGGCAAGCGATCTAACATACAAATCTAAAAATTTGCTACCTTTAATCGGTCAAGGACAAGTTTTACAGACATCCAGTTCTCAGAACGACGATCAATTAAAGCAGTGAAACCTTTCTTTCTCTCATCCGAACTGAAAAACAAAGAATAATCAGTAAAATGACATGCGTGTTTATGATAAAAATCTAATAAAACAAAAGTTTCTTTCTTCCAATGCACATTGCTTGATGAGCACCACGGGCTCTATAATGTATATCTTTTTGTTTGAAAATGAGTAAAAGGACAAAACCTTCTAAAGTCTCAGATACTTAGAGTGGAAGCTTTATGCTTGTACACAATGTTAGCTAAAAGAAGAGCAAGAGAATATAGTATGCCATTCAATCTACCAAATTTTCTCTGTTAGTTTTCGCACTATTTCAGATTTTTTGTGATAAAATAACTGCGTTGCATGAAAGTAGTGCATGAAAGTACATTGAATAATTAAAAAAAGTTCTGTAACTTCGAAACGAACGTAATAATTACCCAAATCGTTGAACAAGATAATGAAAGATCTTTTCGATATCCTCCTGACTGATATCAGCGAATTTCTGTGAATGTGGGAAGATGATCAAAGGAGAACCATTCTTGTCGAATCCCCCTAAAGAACGTTAACGTTTGACATAATTTTCTCAGACCTGTTTCCACTAAGGAGGAGTTTCTCAGTTATTTTTTGGGTGAATGTAAACAGATGTGTACATTACCTGAAACGTAAACCGACTTAACTTGCAGCAACTGAGCAACATCTATAGTCTTCAATTTCGGAAAATCAACATCTCCTGCGGAATAGTAATATACAAATCAAACAAGGAAACTTGCAGCACAGGCGTTTTAAGACAGAACTGTAATATAAAAAACACTTTGGGAAGACAATTGGCTGGCATGGATCGTATGCATGAGTTTGTGCAAAGTTACATGCCATGTAACCGATAAAATTTGCCACTGCCATATCATATTTAAATAAAAAGCAAACATTTTTATCCAAGTACTTCAATGTCATGATGATATGATCAGTAGAATATGCAGACTTCACAAAAACTACAATTGTATTTTCACAGAAATAAACATTGCAATTATATGTATTTTTAAAATTTTTTTAAATATATTACAGGAAGTTGTCAGATCGCCAAATACCATAGTTCAGCAGAGGAGTTGAAATTTGAATGTGGCTGCTTTTAGTTACAAGGCCCAGTTGATAGAAATATCAATAATTGTATACAGTGATCAAAGATTAAATTAAACTAGTATACCATTTACAGACAAATTAATGAGGAACAAATAACTTGGAAATGCTGACAATTATGTACATGTTTATAAACCTCTGATTTTTCAAATATAGCATATTTCATGAGGGTGTGAGGACATCTGTCTGTTTTCCGAATATGAGGCTGAGGAAATTAAAGAAAGAAATATTTCGAAATGTTTTTAAGACACTTTGAAGATTCAGCACTTCTACTAGGCTTTGGTGACATGAAGTATCGTCCAGTGTGTTTAATTTAACGGTCATGCTTTTTGATTAATTTAATAAGAGGATCAGTGAGATAGAGAGGAACTAGGCATGCTGTAGTACATGATACATTCGGTGAATAATTTATTTGTTTCTTCAACCACTCAAATTTAGTGTCACAAGTTTTAATTGAACAAGCAGAATCTATAAAAAAGGTTGACGTGCGGAAAAAGTTATCTAAAATGAGATGCACGAGGAATGAAGCCGAATCTAATGATTCTAAATACTTTAAAGTTCTCTGGAATACATGGCACTGAATTTTTGAAAACGGGAGTTTTTTCCAGTGAAAGAACCGTTGTTAAAAGTTCTTCAAAACAGGCCTGCGAACAAAAAATAATCCTCGGAAAAAATTTAATCACTGTGAGTCAAAATATGGACTTTATTGTACAAGCTACCAAAATTTCAAAGAATTCGGGGTAAACGCTGGCCAAAGAGAGATCTTCATAACTTGGATTTTTTTCGCAAGTTTTAAGACGACATTAATATTTTTCGGACTTGGTTTGCTAATTTCATACTGTACTTTATACAAATTTCCGAAATGCATCTAATTAATTTGAGATAATGTGATAAAACTTGGTTTTCAAAGGTACAAACGCAAAAAAATCTAAGTTTAAAAGATCTCGCCTATATCATCGCTTATCCTAAATTTTAATAGCTCTTACAAAATGGCCCATATTTTGACTTAGGGTGTATATGACTAAATTGCTTTTCCAATGAGTATTTTTCGTGCTAAAGGCCTGTTTTGAAGGATTTTGAACAACGGTTCTTTCACTGGTAAAAATCTTGCGTTTTCAAACATTTCATTGCCAGCTGTAACAGAGAACATTAGATCACTTAGATCAACCAAAAGTTTTCATTATTCCACGCGCGTCCTGTCTTAAAGGACTTTATCGAAAAGGACTATTTTTTTAAATATAACGACAGGAAGAGAGGACTGCCCATATTCCATGCTCAAGTTGTTCATTAACAGCGTTGCACGAAAAATATCAAAGCATAACTTTCCACATTGGTTGTATAGCTTGATGATGGAGTGATAAATCGATTTCTTGTTAGACGTTAAAAAAGAAAAGTGCTAATATTTTGACGTCCTCAACTTCAATATTTCATACTTTTTTGACGTTTTTAATTAACCCTTTATGTGGCAACTGCTACAACAACACAAAAAGGGTTCATATTTTTCACAATTGAAATGGCCAGTATGAATACGTCAGTATCATTTGTTCTTAGAACAATCCTCTGGTGGACGCAGTTACTTGCATCTAACACGTGCACCATCAATCGTGTGTCAGCCTCTTCATGATTACATGGTTCCAACATTGATACTTCGGTTCTTTTAGGGAAGCACAAGACCTTTTCTTCAAATGTGCTGTAAATTTCTCTTTCTTCTGGAATCTGCTGGGAAATAACTTTCTGCGCCAAGAAATTGGAAAGATCCATTTTGTTGGCATTTACGCGCCGGAAGCCCTTCCAGTCAGTAGGGATACGTGCTGTCGATGAAACCTTGCGGCGTTGACCAAAGTCTCTCTTCTCCCGTGCGGTTTTTTTCAGCGAATCCTCTTTGTATACATCCCACACTAAATCAGTTGTTTTAGCTAATTGAAATTGCTTTAACACATAAGAAATGAAAGGAAACTGTGCGTACTCTTTGTAGGTTTCCCAAGTTCCAGGTGAAATTTGAACAACAACAGCTCCGTCTAAAATAATAAGATCGGGAGTTGGTGACTGAACTTCGGTAATGGGCGCGATACACTTTGTAAAGTCTGCTTTATTACCAGTACGCAAACTTCCTGCTTGTGAGAGAGATAGTGGCCATGGTTGGTTCTCATATTTAAAGAAATCATCGAGATCGCCACTTCGATTTTGACTGGCTGTATACAATCTTGAAAATAAAGCACAGTCTAGTTTGAGAGTTTGTACTTTTACTTTATCTTTTGACGAAACTCTTTTTCTTCCTGTTTTAAACGAAGGCAGATTATTCCTTTTCAACGTTTCAGTAATACTCTTGCTTCTCTCAACAAATCTTTCTTTAACAAATGCTTGATATTGTTCTTCTCAAAGGGTTACAACATTCTTCACCGTGTCAACAACGGAACTGTTCATCACGTCATTTGTGTGGATGGTAAATAGGTCTTCGCTCTCTTCTACAAAAGGATTCCACATCGCTTGAAAATTGGAGACGACATTTGAGACATCTTTATAAAATTCTTTTTGAATTGATGGAGTTTGCTCATGGTGTAGCTGACTGTCTACATGTGTACTCATCTCGAATTCCCTAATTATTCGTGCAATTTCTGGACCTGCAATCATCTATCTCCTTAAAGCTGAAAGGTTTTCGGTTAGTCCCACAGCACCACCTTCTCCCTTTACCACTGCATTAACTTGCTCGTGAGCATGTTCTAATGCTATAGCTGAAAACTGTTTCTTCGTTTTATGCACCACAAACGAGCCCTTGGAGAACTGGTTAAAGACGTCAGGATGTTTGAATGAAAGCTCCGACAAATGGACAGATATGGATAGAAAGCCATCTTGCATAATTAACCTTGTCCAAAGCAAACATCCACGGAACAAGTTGCTTAATTGACTGGAAGTATAAGGTGAAATTAGTTTGTCTAAATGATCGCACTAGTTGTAAACAGAGTAATTCTAGTTCCAAAACTGTGGATAATCCTTTGACATATCTTCTTTCCAAATGTGGAATTCTTTAGCTTCTCCATTGTCAACTTTCGTGACATACTCCTTATAGGCATCTAGTTATAGGTAGTAAAGACTGGCTGCTCTTACTTGATGGCACGTCTTGTTCTTGCCACATGATTGCAAGCGATGAATGACTGTACAACACCTTGGTTAGCTATACCTTAGCCAAAATTTCGGTCCAGCCAATCCCATCAAGCCATTTTCCTAGAGCTTTAAAAGCCGTCATCTCAATTTGTAAGCCACTAAATATTACCACAAATTTATCTTGTCCATGACTGTTTACAAGAGTCCATTGAATTTGCTTGGCTAAAGCAAATAGGGGCTGGTCTACGGCGATAACTGGGGTTTGAGAGTAGTTGACATGACGAACAGCTGATTGAATAACATTCATTGAATATAATATCATTGCAAATGAATGAGCATCCTCCCGAAACATTGGGTGAAGTGTAATGATTGCCGGTTCGTAAGAGGTTGACGACGTTTTTGATGCTCGATTTACTGCCCATGAAAAAGTGTCGTCCTTACTCCGGTCTTCCTTTTAAACGAGATGTTGCACATGTTCAAGCCAGTCTTCCTCTAGATCTTGCCTTTGGTTGACGGTGGTAGATACAGTTTGCATAACGGTATGAAGTGGAGGGGCATAAAGTTCACCACATGTTAGAGTCACTGGTGGGACATGACAAAATGATGGTGGAAGCTGTGACACTTTTTTAGAACTAGAAATAGACGAATCAAATAAATCTACTTCTCTACTCTCACCATTTTCATGAACTGTTGGATGCTGCACGAGCGAAATTGCTGTACCGTAGAAAGAGTCTTGTGAACGTGTGGAGCTGGGATTATGATCTATGTTGTCAACTGCTGCAGTTGTAAAGAATCCTTTCCGTAACGTCGACGGACAAGCAACGTCATCACTCTCATACCTTGCTATTACTTAATTAGCAATGTCGGAAGAAACAGATAAAGCCGATCGTACGAGATGCACAATCCCAACTTGGAAAAAGCGTCGATAAGTGATTTATCTCTCGTAGTTCCATGAATTTTGAGGGACGTGTATATTGGTACCGGACATTCCTTTTCTCTAGTGTGATGAGGTGTTGACGCTTCACGCTCGCGTGAAGTGCAATTGAAAACAAAAAGTTGAGATATAGTTAAGCAAGCTTGATTTGGATCTCTTTCTGCCGGTTGTTTGTTTAGAAATGGCTCCTTTAAGTATCATATCTATAACAACTTTTAATGGTGCTGGAACAGAATCCTTTTGACAATCTTCGGAGAATTTTCCGTTGAATGAGTTCTTTGTTTGAAATATATCTCTTCTTATAATCATAGCCGCTCTTGCTATATGCCATGCTTCCGAATCTTCTTCCTTTGCCCTTTTAAGAGCGTTTTCAATTTCATGTTTCAATACAAGTATAATGTCTCTTCCTTTACTTTGATCAGTAATATTGGGTAAAACAGTCAAGATTCTTTCCTTAAGTCTGGTAGTATTAATTGATCCACTTACAATTCTTAATGCCTTCAACCTCATTTTAAAAAATGTTGTCAGCTCCGTCATCTTAAGCAAAACTAAGCAATCTGATTCTAGTCGTTCTTCAATACAAGCAATAAGTTCAGCAAACGCTAGCCCATCAAGATTTGGTCCTGAACGTTCAGAGTTTGTTGACGTCTCAGCCTTCATTGACCTAGCTCGATTATAGAGAGAAATAAGACATTTACGATGGTACTTTGCCTCCATTGCTACCATATCACGATTCGATACTTTTGCTATAAGTTGTCTGTCGTTTAGCAAAACAGCACATTCTCTAACCTTGCCGTCTATCTCAAGGGTTGAAGCTGCACGAAGGTTTGAAGAGTTGTCTGGTTTATCACAGAAAATGCACTCGTTCTTGGAAACTGCAGGGAAGCTTGCTCTTCTGGCTTTAATTGGACTTCCTTTTTCGATTTCAGATGTTTGTTCTTCGTCTGTCTTCTCCGCACTTAAGCTTCTTTTCAGGTCACGTTGCAATTTTGCTTTATTGAAAAGATCCCTACATGACTTATGCCATGATGCTTGGCGTTCTTTCAGCGTTTCTTCTATTCCATTACCTCCATCGAGACCTTTTACGTCTAGATTCACTGGTAACATATCAATTTTAATAAATTGTTGCAGATTTTTCGCAAATGATGAGTACCCAACTCCTGCATCCTTTCTTTTTGAGTTTGATGGACATTGTAGACGTTCTGCAGTGTCTTTTAGACAAATTATGCTTAGTTTCCAGTCCATGAGTTACATAATATTCTACGAGGGATGCAGTTATTGACACTACATGTGCATGCTTTGTTGTGTTTACATCTTGATCAAAAAAGAATCTTCTAGATTAAATTGAACACGCAATTTATGCGCACGTCATTACAATCTTAAGGCAAAGTTTTACAACAAGAACAAGTAAGGATATAATAATAGATTACTTTATGGTTGGTCAGTGCGTACGATTTTTATGCACGAGTTGGGAATCAATTAGGAGATTGTTTTGAAGCGTTTCAAAACAATGAAGTGACAAAAGGTGCTAAAAACCTGAAATGTTAAAGGATAGAATGAATAAGTATTCTGAATGCTAACACAAGTAAGGTAATAAATCTTAAAGAAACTTAATTGAATGTTCTTCATTGTTTCAAAACGATTTGTCATTGCACTATGGTGAAAGCCGGGAGGGCACATTATATATAATATAAATATATTTTATTTTCAATATATATATATATATATAATTATATTATGGAGAATATTCCTGGATAAAAGAGCGCTCAATATCCTATATAATAGGAGAGCGTAAGATAAAATGAAATAAAATGGACAAGTGTTTGCTGTCGTTACTAGGAGTTTCACCCGTAGGATGATCTTCAGGCAACTGACAGATTATATATTATTTGCTGACTATACACATCGATTAAAAGGTGTTAAGTTACATGACGGCATGCACTAAACATATCGGAACGTTTATTTAAAATGTTCTTTTTACGTCCTTTCAGGATAAGTAGCCTTTCTTCAAGGCAAAGACGGCAGATTTTTTGGGTTTTTTCGGAGGTGGAAGTTGTTTGATGAAGTCCCATTTAATGTTGTAGTTACGTTTGTTTTCTTTCAGTGTCCACGTGTATTTAGAAAGTTCTGTCTCGTTGCGGTATTTAATGTTCGTAATTGATTTAGTGTGGTTTCGATATCGTGTCTTAAAAGCGCATGCAGTAACACCTGTATAAGTTTTTGTTTCGTTGTTGTCAGTCGTTGTCACGTCGGCTTTGTAAATCACTTTGGGTTTCAGGCAATTGCCATTTGTCGGGCATAGGTGTTTCTGTCTGCAGTTACATTTCTTTGGGGGGTTGTTCTTGTTCTGGGTTGTTTCTGGGTTAAGTCTTTTTAAAATAGTCTTGTTGTGTCTGGTTATGAAAGTTTTCATGTTTTCGCCGCAGCTGTAGCTTACGCGTATTGTGTGTCGGTTGAATACCTTAGAGAGTATAGTATTTGGTGGGAAATGTTTGTCGATAAGTTGTAGGAAGTCGTGGGCGATGTGTGTTTTTACATTTTTGCTGTATGGTGGGTTAAACCAAGTGACGTTACGTTTTCTGTTGCACGTAGTGTTTACATTGATGTTTGATGGATTAAAGGTGAGTTGGGTGGGAAGTTGCTTTGTTTAAGAGCTTGATTGTAAATTGGTGCGGCATTGTCGAAGGTGTCTTTGTTAGATGAGAGTGTGTTAATTCGGTTGTTGATGGATGTGGGTAGTTGGCGCAATACTGATGGTGGGTGGTTGGACGATCTGTGAATTTCATTTTATATATAATTATATATAAATATTTGAAAATTGGTAACCCTGGCATATTATGATAATATGTGTCCACGTTAATGTTCGTAATTAAATACCGCAACGAGACAGAACTTTCTAAATACACGTGGACACTGAAAGAAAACAAACTACAATATTAAATGGGACTTCATCAAACAACTTCCACCTCCGAACAAAAACCAAAAAACCTGCCGTGTTTGGCTTGAAGAAAGGCTACTTATCCTGAAAGGACGTAAAAAGAACATTTTAAATAAACGTTCCGATATGTTTAGTGCATGCCGTCATGTAACTTAACACCTTTTAATCGATGTATATAGTCAGCAAATAACATATAATCTGTCAGTTGCCTGAAGATCATCCTACGGGTGAAACTCCGAGTAGCGACAGCAAACACTTGTCCATTTTATTTCATTTTATCTTACGCTCTCCTATTATATAGGATATTGAGCGCTCTTTTATCCAGGAATATTCTCCATAATATTATTATTATATATATATATATATATTATATAATCTGTCAGTTGCCTGAAGATCGCCCTACGGCGTGAAACTCCGAGTAGCGACAGCAAACACTTGTCCATTTTATTTTATTTTATATATATATATCACTCTTCAGGGGATAATATTAAATGAATACAAAAGCATGTGCTAGATTATATATACAAGAGGAAGTTAGGGTAAAAATTAAGATAGAATTACATAATATATTGAGTGTACGATTACAAATTAGATAAAAGTGCCTTGTGTCTATGGCGACAAGAGGAGATAAGTTCGTTACGTTTGTTGAGTGATGATAGTTGTGGTTGGAAGGTGATGAAGAATTTTTCTTTCAGGCATAGGTTGCATCTTTTGTTGGCGCTGTTGTACGGTTTGCTGTGAGTAATGATGTTCCATGAGATATTGTGAGCGATGTTGTTGTCTTTTAGTGTCCATATGTGTTTGCTGAGTTCGGTGGAGTTTCTTAGTTTTTTGTGGCGAAAAGAGGCAGTGTGGTTCCTGTGTCGAGTCTTAAATTCGTTTTCTGTAAGTCCGATGTAGGTCTCAGTTGTGTTATTGTCCAAACGTTTAACAGTTGCTTGGTAGATGACAGATGATTGTAGGCAGTTTCCGTTAAGTGGCAGTTTTGTTTTTGTCGGCAGTTGCATGTTTTAGTTTGTGTATTTTTGTCATTGATGGTGTCATTAGTATTGTCAGGTTCTCTCAATATGCGTTTGTTATGGTTATTAATAATATGTTCCATATTGTTCATGCAGCTGTAACTTAATTTAATTGTGTTGCGGTTAAATAGTTTTCTGAGTTTGTGGTCTATGGGAAAGTGCTTGGCAATTAGTGAAATGAATTTGTAGCCGATGTTTGTGCTGACGTTCTTGCTGTATGGTGGGTTGTACCAGAGTATGTTATTTCTAAGTCTGTTTTTCCGTTTCGTAGTGCGTTTGGGTCATATTTCAGTGTGTAATGATATCCATTTTCGTCAAGTGCTTTTTGGTATGGAGGAATTTGCTTGATCATGAATAAGATGCTCTGATCATGAATAAGATCGCTGACAGGTTCGCACGCTGTCTTAAAAATGCACAAACAGTATAGGCTTATGTTTATCAAAATACTTCAATTCTGTGCGTAAATATTTGAATAGAATTAATCATCAATACAATCATCACTACGTCGTTAATACACGTAGTGGGCAAAAGTCAGTTCTTGTAAAACTGCATAAAAATGAAAAATACACGTGTTGTGATTGACTTTCACACTCCAGAGCCATATTTTAGTACAAATTTCGTTTCCACCGATGCTCAGCAAAAAAACTATCTTTTTGTTTGTACCGCCTACTCGCCTTATCCTTGCCACGTCACCGGTTAAGGCCAACTTTAGAATATTCACATGAACCACTCGTACAGGCCTGATTTTAGGTAAACTCCATCAAAGAAAGTTTCAATGGACTCGAGTTTCTGTTGAGGTATTAGTTTATAAAGACATTCTCTAGTATCTCCAACTGCATCAACTAAATCGTTCGTTACTATACCAGTTTCATGTATGGCCGTCTTTGAACTTATCAAACTAGAAACCGACTGTTCGTTCGTATTGTATGCCATTTGGGTATAGTCACATTCAAAAATGTAATAAAGACGTTAAAGTCCAGCATGATATATGATTAGTCGGGAAATCAAGAAATTAACGCCGTCTAGCTGTAATGCAATTATACAACGAGAAAGTTTGTCAGTCAACGACTCAACGCATAGGACTTCTTCGCTCAGATACTGACCGTAGAGCATTTTTATTAATTCCAGCAAATTGCAACAAATGTAAAAAATAAGCGACACTCATGCTATGTTTACTCGAATCACTGCACTTACTGCTTAATATTAACGAGATAGTGCTTCTCAACACCTCACTTTCAATATATTTCAAAACTAATAAAGCAGTCAAAATCAACGTAAAAGCTATAGCAGGAATTCAGAACTACCTTCATTTAGGAATCCGTGCCATATCCAACTGTTATCATCACCTTTATCTTCCAAGCTTGCTAAATTCTCTCTTTCATCCATAACCAAAATCTACGTATCTCTGATGAAGCATATATTTTCAAGCGTTTCTTACAGCAAAGAAATTTATTGTAGAACTCATCATATTGCATTTATTGAGCACCTTAAACTCTGAATAAGGTATTAAAGACCAATGATATGCGATAAGAGTCAATAATCTTTCAGCTAAATCATATGGCGTTCAAAAGCAATGTCAGGCAATTGAAATTTACTTTACTTTGACTTGTTATGAAAATTTTATATTAACTTTTAACACAAATTTGCATATTCAATATATTATGCGTTGCCCAGTCAACCACAGTGAAACGATATCAATAAAAAGCCCTAGTAGTAACCTAAAAGACATTTTGCTATGCAGTTGCTAAAGATTCACAGTGCGATGTATTTATTCTTTTAATCTTAAATCCTGATCTTCCATCCAACGATCACAGTGAACTGTAAAAGCTCGCCGAGCATTCCTTCTTCTTGCTTTGGAGTTAATCTCAGAGATGATGTATTACATAAAGATTGTTTGTTTTTTCCACTAATAACGACATTGATTGCGTACTTTTAATTTGTCGTAACCAGACCATTTAGTTGCATCAACCTTGCTGATAGAATTTAAAAAATCTATTTGTTGACTTTGGGAAAGTAGCTTCAAATGTTACCAGTATACAGGGTGTATAAAAAAATGAACAAACAGGCGCGAGATCTACCAAAACGTTTGGATGGAATAGGTAGTTGGACTTCCACTAGTTCATCTGACAGTAAAATTTTTGCAAGTGAAAATAGTGCATGTTACCGAGAGCACTTTTGAGATCTTTTCCGCACAAAAATGTCAATGCTAAAGAGCAATTGCAATGCACAGGTTTAAAATATGGTAGATGTTCAAGGTAACATAGTTTTAGGACTGATTTGGCATTTTTTCCATCCGCACGCGAACGCTTGCCATCCAAGACGCGGTTTATTTTTGCTACTTTGCTACTTTCTATTTGCCGTTTTCAAATCATCATCAATTATTCATATTTCCATAATTTAAGGTAATATTTATGTATAATTGATGAGTATTATGAAAAAATAGCATTTAACAACGAAAAATTAAAAATTATGCGCATTCTGAAAGGTAAGCGTTAGTGTACGCATAAAAGCCAATTTTCCTAACAATAGCTTAAACAACATGTGTCATAATTCAACCCTGTGTGTTCCAATTTCTTCTTAAACCTTGGTCATTTCTAGGATCATTTCAGCTAATTTACTGCTTTGGAAGGCGCTTTGATTACTTAACGTATCGCCAAAATTGTTCACTTTACAGTGATAAACATGAAACTTTGTATGATTACTAAGTTCACCTAGATGAATAATTGTGGGTATGGAACCATGCAAATTTTGCACTTGACGCTTAGGGGCTGATTACATGAGCCCGGGTAGCCGGGATTCAGTCAAGCGTTAAATGAATTTGGCAAATGGAAACGATTCAATACTTATCATCAGGTGATTTAACCAAAATGATTTAACACTTCGCTGAATCCCGGCTACTGGACTCATGTGAACAGCCCCTTATTAATGAGTATTCTCAAATAGCGCCTCCATGAAAATGAGGCTGATCATTAAAAGGCTAATTAATGACTAAATTTCAAAAGAAAAAACAAAAGCAATAAGAGAGTTATTTAGCAAACACGACGTTTCGTCTAATACGCCGTGAAATTTTCGCGAGGGATCTGAGTCTAGGACGCCACCACGTCGTAAAGTATTTATGATTTAGCAAACCTTTTGTAGGACTCCTGCAAATGATAGTATGAAACAAGTTGCATCTATTTCGGCATTTTTCCTGCTGGATCGTGTTTTCCGATCATTTTAAACTAATTTTTTGATAGCAAAAATATACTGCTGTTTATTCGTTTCAATAAAATTATAAATAAAAGCAAAATCACTTTCTGAAATATTACCTGACAAAAACAAAATTTAGTAAGAAAAACTGCTTGAAAAAGATTTGCTTTTCCTGTTTACAAAAAGTAATAAGAAATTTTGTAATTAAATTTATGTAGTGAAAGTAAAATATAAGATACAATGAAAAACTGCTTTTGAAGCACACGTGAGTATATTAACTACGAGTCTGAAATAAGCATTAAAAAAGCAAAAAGTATCATCGTGAAATTCTTTATGTTTTAAATCGCTCCGGGTTTTGTTTTCAAAAAACAGCGCACAATAATTTGCCAATTACGGAACAATTGTAAACAAATTTCAAAATAAATTTAAAAGATGAAAAATGTCTTGTATTTGAATAATTATGTAATACTGTATGCCATTTATGACCTGCATGTCAGCAGGACGCCTGATAAAAATGAACCATAACAATTTAGCTACATTAAATATAAGAGGTGAGTTTTTTGTCTCATTTTGACAACCAATTCATGTCATTGAGAAAAATATTGATAAAATAATGAAGTAAAATATTTTCAAACATAAATAATGACTGAAAATTTTCGTACATTCAAATAACTCCGGGTACCCGTAGGGTAACTGGTGTTTTAAATTTGCCCGTGTTTTTGTTTTTTGTCGGTGTTGAAAATTGGCAATTCCACATTTCTGGCATAACAAATATTGGGGAACAATTATTTGGTATTGCTTTGGTTAATTTGCCTTTGCAATTGTAAAGTAAATTAGTATGACTTGCTGGGATTTTAATTCACCAAAGTTTTCCAAAGTGAACGATTGTGTTTAATCAGAATGATTGCAAAATACAAACTATATTTGATTATTATAACACGAGATAAAAATTATATTGTGCCATGAAGGCTTGGAATATCGTTATAACATAAAACTTCTTTACGTCAGCAGGGCTGCGAATGCTGAGTTTATGTCGTTTTGAACTGGATATAGGACAAAATAAATTTTACACAGATAACAACACCGACTGATCAACATGCAGAAAAATGTGTATACAATTATACAACTTTCCGCATGAAAGAATTTAATGCTGCAAAATAACAATAAATAGGCTGTCGTTGAGCTTACAAATCAACTGTTTCCATCTGTAAAATTAAACAGAATTTCCACATATCATGTTGAAACGTCTCCAGTTTTTTACGATATATACGAGTACAAAACCCTACCCAATTTGCTTTTTAAAATTGTGGAACTGTGTAATTATGAAAATTATATCTTTATAATATTGCCTTGTGTTTTCTGTTGTGTATTATATCATATTGTATTTTTATCAATTTTTCAAAAATTTCCCGGCAAATTGCTGTAACTTGCCCGACTAGACCAAAGATTGAACGAATTGGGGGGTTGTCTCACACACACACACACACTACCTCCCCTCAGAAGTTTCGGTCCTGTTTATATTCAGTAGTCATATTCATTAGTCAGACTACGCATTGAAGGAATATAACACATCAAAGAAATCCGATTCAAGTTAAAACACAAGACAATAGAAACTCTGTATAAAGTAAACATTATTTAATCTAATGTCTGAAATTAATTTTATGAAAAGATTTTCAACATGTAATGGTTTCCCACGTTGGCTTACAAATAAATTTATCAATATCTATGACTAGACCTCTCAAACATAACCGTGAAGAAATGACACAACCTGTTATTTAGATTCTTTTCCAGAGGATGATAAAGACACTTTTGTGGATTGTGATATGTGATGTCAACACAACAACAACAGCGGGCAATGTTACCGATTTAAAGTTATTCATCTGTGGTACAATTTGCCAATATGTATCATACAACGTGCTCAAGATACATTTTACCGGATGTTCTAAAGTGAACGCAAACAATTGGTGAAAATTAATTTTTTGGAAGAAGTGACGAAACTGGACCGGGCAGAACAGGGATTGTGATGACCCAAGAGCAACTAAAAGTCTAGACGCGATTAAGAGCCCAATATCTCCCTCAGGGAAATATGTATTTAGATAGAATGAATACTTTTAAGAATATTAGAAATTTATTTAATAGGACGAAAATTTGATCTTCCTTGATTTTTTGCTCCTCAAATTTGGCTTTTTTCGTGTTAGACCGTGAGGTACTAGTTTACCGGACGTGACGTGTTCTTAAGAGCACGGTGCATTTCAACGCTTAAGAAATATAGTGTAAATTCTATAATAAAATGCATGATGTGATCATTTATTAATTATTCATTTCATTTTTAATTTCCCTCGCACGATGTCCTCCAGATTAAGATATTCAACTTGATTTGGATTCTTTCATATTGGACTACATTATGGAGATCGAAGCATTGCTGTTTGATACCACGCATCTCAATCACGAAAATTCACTCAACACAAGTTTAATAAAAATAAATTTCTCGACTTTGCTGCAGATTTCAGTTATGTCACATATGAACTACAGCATTGAAAAGCAGCGTGTTCTCCAATACATGTCACGTACCCAATCACTGCACCTCAACACAAAATTAGCCAATTTTGAAGTCTGAAAAGACAAGGAAGATCAAAGTGATCATTATAAAATGAATGGCAAATGTCCTTAAAATGTTCTTTAAATGGTTGCTGAAATTCAAATGGAGTGAATTCAGTCAATTGTTAATGGTCATTGTGTCTGATAGTGAGAGCAAATTTCTTGACAAGCGATCCAAGCAATTTGTGTTATCACATTTCCGGTTAAGCTTGTCAAGTATCTGCGTTAACTTTCGTCTTTTGATAGACAATTTCGAAATATTCAATAGCCATTTTTTCGAAATGTTTAATCATTGATCTTTTCAGTTTCAACTTTCAACTATCAATTTGTGAATTTTGAGCAAAAGATAAAATTGCAAGATTTTCAGTATGCAAAATATCATGTTTTTGACACACATTTGAGTTATTTTCAACTTATAACACTGACATTTCTTTTACTATATTGTGTGATTTGAAGAGTAGAAAATTTTTAGTAGGCTTTGCATTTTCCTCTCTATGGGGACATAAAGTGGAAAACGCAGAGTCTGTATTAGAAGGGTCTATCTTTGAAAATGGAGAGACTCCGTACTCCTACTCCGCACACCACACTCTGCATTTTCCATCATGTCATAGAAATAAGTACCTACGGTAATGTTAAGCTAAGCAACAAGTCATTAAGACTTTTTTTAGAAAATAGAGTTCAAGCCATGCAAGTTTTGATAAAGCGACGAGTTTTTTCCTGTGAATATCCACAGACAGAATTTGATTTAATACAAGCCTACTTGTATTAAGTATAATAGTAATTAGTATATAAACCTACAGCTTATAGTGAAGACGAAATATACGTCTGTCTATGTTATATAGTATAATATATGGACATTTAATATTTGTGTTTGTCTGTCATTCAACGATTGACGAAGAAACAGACAAAAATAGATGGCAATACAATCAAAGTTTATTTTTGGTATAAAATACATACTTCCATGAACTTATAATATTTATACTATTGTTTATTTTACTGAAGATAAATCATTTGGGCTGCATAGTCCAACTTCATACACACACCCTATTCAAGCATCTGCGATGCTATTAACTAGCTACATGAAAGATAATTTGTACTTCGTTCATTTGTGAAACACATCAAAGATAATTTGAGTAATTTTCTACAACTTTATTTTCCAATTGGATTATAATGGAAACCAATGGATTACATTCTACTGGAAATCATTTATGGTGATATGTTTTAACAGATGATATGAATAAGGCAATGCCACGCTTTTCACAAAATTTTTTTTTCTGTTTTGAATGTTTCTGTAACCCATGTATCGACACCTCATATTTTAAATGTTAATCATCGCTACATATTTAACAAATAGATAGCATTTAACTGTTGTCTATACAGTTATAGATACACGGGTATGACGTCAATTGTGATAAAAACTAAAAAAAGAGCCACGAGCCACCGGGGCGAGAGATGCTATCTATTTTGTTTATATAATAAAATCAAAAAAATTCCCAAATTAAACCGTCAAACAGTTTGTTTTCTTTGTCTCCCAACACTTGGAACATTGAAAAGTCTTGATTTTGCAAACATCACGCTTACGTGATCTATAGGATTGAAGAAATGCTATTGGCTAGCTTAATCACGTGATAAAATGTGATTGGCTAACAAAATGAACAAGCAATGGCTGATCAATTTTCTTGAAATTTTGTTATCGAAGACGAAGTACTAATTAATGTTTGAAAACCGGGTTTTTTCTTTTCTTTTTGCTCAAAACGTTAACTGCCTCAACTACGTCTTTCTGAATATCTTTATTTTTCCATTCAGGGAGGTATTGTGATAAATTTTCAAATATATCCGCCATTTGCTTGTTTTTATAAACATGAACTTTTCTGTGACGTCAATTCCGTGCGCATGTCCTCTTATAGATCATAGCTCTCGACCAATGAAATTGCTCATATTCCTCTGGTTATTATATAATGTATTATAGTCAACATGCAGGCTTCATAATGTTGTCACTCGTCCGGCACATATGAAATTAGAGAAACAATAACAATGTCTTGCTAACAAAATTGCTTCTAGTTTTTGCCTTTTCAAGTCACCAAACCACTGACTCTAGTATCTAAATTGCATCAATATAGCCACTTGTCACTTGCATCAAATGTAAATATATTTTTTTCTTTACAAGTCCATATCAAAAACAGCTTCAGGGAGAGCGTGGGTAAATCAGGTTTTCTATCTAAATGTCAAATATTGATTCTTCATGAAAATTTCATTGATTTGCAACCAAGCAAAGTTTTAATGGTTTTAGAATTATGACGAATAAATGCCAAGTTTATTCGCTGTGGATCGACGTCTCAACGTCATTTTCGTGAGCAGCATGACGTGTGCCATGTAAGAAGTCCTAATAAATTAAAATTTTTAGATAGACACATCCCTTCATGAGCATTTCACACTATTATAGTTATTTTTACGACGTTTTATACTTTTCTTTCTGGGACAGAATTTCTCTAATTTGAAGGAACGACTTCTCTTGTTGACGGAGTGAATTGTGCATGTGAATGTAGAGGAATTGCGTGCAATTATTTTTAACTACACCAATTTAAAGAGCAATTTATTCAACTGTCTACTTATAATTAATCTCATGTGTACATCCAGGCTCTTTCTCAGGTTTTTGTATAACCGTTTGCTTCATTGGAAAATTTTATTATGTATATTGTATCGTCTCTATTTATAGATCAAAATTATAGCTAACTTTTCCTTAAGAACGTTCGAAACGGCGTCTTCCTTCAGTGATGTTAAGATACGTTGTAAGCAATCACTTGACGCTTTTTCTCTTACATTTTTTGCGTTAAACAGCATGTCAAGAAGCATTTCCCCATTTCTGGAATCTAGTTGCTGACATTCGCTCACATCCACAATGTATTCGACAGAGTCAATTTCGTGCTTCCACTCGTGTTTCTTCGCAATGGCGATGACCTCTTTACTGCTAATCATTTTTACGCATTCAGTGAACTGCTTGCCTTCACGTCGTAAGCCGTTCTGAATTCGAAGTGCAAAATTATTTTCGTCTTGAATGACGCATAGTATTACACCGTTATTTTCAAGTTCATTCTCGTAGATATGTAACAGGTCTTTCTCTGGTTCGTCCAAGTAATACATGCCATGTATAAGCATGGCCAAATTCATTTTACCACCGCCAGACTTTTCAGACATTTCTTTAAAGTAATTAGCTAAGGTTTCGGAACGCCAGTCAAATTTTATTTTCTTGTATTCACGTTTCTTACTAGAATTCACAATATTTTGGTATTTTTCAAGAACAGCAGAATGGTTATTGACAACCCGGAAAGTAGTTTGAGTTCCAGGCTGTAAATTGCGCCATACTATAGAGAGAATTTTTAAGCTCGTGCTCCCGTCTGGTGAACATACATCCAACATGGTGTACTCCCCGCTTGAAAAGTCTGAAACAACAATTCTGCTTGAGTTAGCGAGCGCCCATTCCGTAAGCACTTCTTGCTCAGTAGATTTGTTGAAATATTCTTCAACATAAGCGGGATAGTCCCCTTCTAGACTTAGAGCACCAGTTTTAGCTGACATAGTTGATGAGCAACTCAAATAGAATTAATGCCTACCGACTTGGTTTTTATAAATAACATACGAATAAACAACTGCGTGCTTGTAATACCATGCTGTTTGCCGGTCATGACATTTAACAGAAAACTTATTTGACCCTATTGACCTTGCTTAAAACTTTACCATAAATGGGGCTCATTCGAAAAGTTTATTACCACAATACATTACCCATATTTCATGTTTGGGATGGAACTTAGAAAAATTCTCACTATATTATCTTGTAACTGCCTTTATCTATTTAACACTGTAACACAAAGGTCAGATGAACAAAGTAATTAATTCTTAAGTATCGCTAACTATAGATTCACGCTATTGGGGTAAAACGCAGATACGGACGGACGAATGACATTTGTGAACCAGCAGATGAGCTAGATGATGTGCACGTCAAGGCTTATCCGTCAGTGATGAGTGATCCGTATTTTACACGAAAGGATAAAACACGAATATGGGCAAAATAAGTTTTAAGCTATTTCAAAGCTTATCTAACGCAGATATGGTTTGAGGCTTTTTCAATGATCGAGAAAATTGACTGAAGAAAAACAAGAACAATTATTATTTGTTTTATAAGAATCATTTCTTTTATTCGCTATTATACATTAGCAAAAAATGTTATGTTAAAGTGTTTATATTACCAATTTTAGCCCCACATTTTTAGTAGCTAAATTTAAAGAATAGCATTTGGGGATTCCATTTCTGCAATTATAATTTGAATGTCAGCATCTGATTTCCATAAATGATTTTATGAACGTTCACAGTTGCCATTTTCAGCCATACTTTTGCGAACTTTTTGATCGTATGATAACGAGTTGTGGTTGAACACATCCAATCAACATGGCATATTTTACTAGTAATCTATACAAAAAAACGCGATGGAAACGTTGTGTTGCTGGGCCAACCTAATCAAGTTAATTGCGCCAGTCACACAAAAAATAAAGGAATATCTATTGATTTGTTTCCTAACGAAGAAAATGAGTGGCAAGGACGCGAGAAATAGATAAATTTAATTTAGTGGGTAAACATTGACAGGCTTTGGGGCTTTCTCTACCTCGCAGGCTTTTTTGCATATTTTGAGGATTCTTGTTTCGACCTTAATTTGAGTGTGCAAGTGAAACCGATGAGAATATTGACGAAAAATGCATCCAACCATTGATGTGGCCGGTATACCAGAGCCGTAAGAAAAGCAGGTAACCGATCGAAAGCAATGACAATCACAACAAAGTCCAAGTTTACGATTATGATTAACTATCCAGTTTAATAATATACTGCCATAGGCGGCCCAGATATCTGTTTGGGCTTTTTATGCAATCGATTTATGTAGTAAATATATTTCTTGATTTATATGCAATTTTTGTCACGCGCGCTATCTCGCGTGAGTTACACGTATGCATAGAATAGAGAATAATAGAAGGGCAACTCGCGTCGGTAACCTTTGATGTAAGCGTGGCGCGCAGTTTGTTTCGCGCATACCGGAAATGTGACGGCCGCCATTACTCTGGCCAGTAAAGTGTACAACATTTACTATGAAAATATATGGAGTGGAAGCCGTAAAGTGGGTTAAAATGTAGATTTTTTTGAGCTGTTGGCTGTTTTTGGCATCTTTTTGAAAGAAATTGAAATAAAAAGGCAAGTATTTTGTATATATCATTTAACAAATGCATTTATTTAATATATTTATAGCGAAATTCAGTCGGAAAGCTTGAACAGGTTCTGAGGTTCACAAGTCCTGAGGACTTAAATGAACTTGGATGTATTACATGTTAAATATATTATTGTGATATAAAAAGCTTTTTTTTTCAATTTAGTTTTATAAAGGACAAAAAATTATATGCACAAAGCCCTCAAAGGTGTGTGACTTTAATGTACTTTCTGTCTTTCTTTTTAGTTGTTGCGAATATGCGGTTCGCAAATTTTATGGCGTAATAAATACGCATTCTTACAAAAAGTTTCTGCAAGAACTCAAATGGGAATTCCGTACAGCAATCAAATTCCTTTGGTATGGACTTGACGGTGTCTAATATACTTCGACCAACACCTTCGCTCTTTGTGTAGACAGAAAACGTCTTAATAAATGTGTCTTCAAGTTTGATGATGTATTCCAGATAAGGAGAAGATGGTGATTGTAGTCCTCCTAAATCAGATTTCTTTTCATCGAATGCTTTAAAGTGGCAGAAGAACTTTCTGCTATCATCCAGTTCTGTAGATGAAAGAGCATTGGTGCATTTCAGACAAGAGTGGAGTTTGAAACTCTTCATTAGAAGAAAACCAGACACATATGCAATGGCATTTTCCCTCATTATGTTAGTAGCAACATTTGGCTCCTTGTAATTCGAAAACAGTTAAAATAGCTTTGGAAAAGTACAACTTTATAATCTCGAATCAAAAGTTGCAGTAGAGACGCACACGTGAGAAAGATCCACAGCAAACCAAATATACAATGCTTTGGGCGATTTGAGAATTGAATAACATTGGAAACTTATTTTGATAAAGACATTTCTGAGTGAAAAATATGTACAAAATAACAGCAATATAATAAATATTATATTTTCTTAATGGTTACAAGGCTAAAAACATGTCTTTGTCATTAAAGATTTACATGGTGCACAAAAATCTTTAACACAAAACAATTTAAATTTAGAATGTGTGCATTTCATGCAATAGAAAAAGAAATACACATATTTACACATATTTACACATATTTATTCAGTACACATATTTACATTCAAAAAATTTAATGACAACTTTATTCAGAGATGGATATAAGAGAGGGGTGTGCAGCCCTCCTAGCTTAAGCTAGATGGGGGTGCAGAAGAAATGCTAATTTCTCTATAAATAATTGGTATACTAAACAATTAAGCTGAAGAAATTGTGATCAATGTTTAATAGAGCACCCTTACAAAAACCACCCAATCATAATAAAAACTTAATAGAATTTAACAAACAAAGTTTAACATGCTACTGCAACAAGTAGCCACTAAAATCTAATCCAACATACTAAAACTACATAACACAAGACACTTGCAACATAATCCTCACTGGAGAACTGAATGCCAAAATAACAACTAGAAAAAAATATCAGAAAATAAATCATAACTATTTGCAATAAATTTAATAGAGCACAAATCGCAACAAGGCGAAATTTATAAATAAGGTAAACAGAGTGTATACCTCACTAAAACTACATTTGGTATTAAAAATGCCCAACTATTAACATATTAACATTTCACTCATGCTTAAAATGATAAACAAACCCTCCATGGTTTGAAACTGAATGTTGCTAATTATCATCAGTTATAATTCACACACAAGCATCATTAATCATTATTGGATTACTTGGTTAGCTGGTTGATTAACTTGATTTATAGTTCAGCAAATTGGCAAGTTGCAACCTGAAATATTACAGCGTTGGTACAAGTAAAACTCTGACAAGTTTGTGTTTTAAATAATACATTTATAATAACACCTCAAAAGTTTGAAATTTATAATTCAGAAAGGACGAAAACGCAAGAGATTTTACTTCTGGACTTCTATTCACCTAACATACTGACAACTCTATAGGCAGTAACATAAACACCCTACATTGAAACATGTAATTTTTACCAATAAAAAACCTTTACGGACTTGCGAGCAATTAAATAATGGTCTCTCACCTTATTTCTTTCACGTTTTGTCACAAAATTCCATGATCTTACAAAACAGTTTGCGTTTTAGACGATTATTATCCCAAAATCGCACTTTTCCAATATAATTTTATAGCCAGCGTCAAGTTACTGGCCAGGTAATGGCGGACCTGCATGCGCACAGAAATATGCCACGCGTTTCACCTGCGAGTTGCCCTTCTATCATAGAATAGAGAATAATAGAAGGGCAACTCGCAGGTGAAACGCGTGGCGTATTTTCTGTGCGCATGCGTTAGGTCCGCCATTACTCTGGCCAGTAACTTGACGCTGGCGTACTATAAAATAATATTGGAAATTAGCAACATTCAGTTTCAAACCATGGAGGGTTTGTTTATCATTTTAAGCATGAGTGAAATGTTAATATGTTAATAGTTGGGCATTTTTAATACCAAATGTAGTTTTAGTGAGGTATACACTCTGTTTACCTTATTTATAAATTTTGCCTTGTTGCGATTTGTGCTCTATTAAATTTATTGCAAATAGTTATGATTTATTTTCTGATATTTTTTTCTAGTTGTTATTTTGGCATTCAGTTCTCCAGTGAGGATTATGTTGCAAGTGTCTTGTGTTATGTAGTTTTAGTATGTTGGATTAGATTTTAGTGGCTACTTGTTGCAGTAGCATGTTAAACTTTGTTTGTTAAATTCTATTAAGTTTTTATTATGATTGGGTGGTTTTTGTAAGGGTGCTCTATTAAACATTGATCACAATTTCTTCAGCTTAATTGTTTAGTATACCAATTATTTATAGAGAAATTAGCATTTCTTCTGCACCCCCATCTAGCTTAAGCTAGGAGGGCTGCACACCCCTCTCTTATATCCATCTCTGAATAAAGTTGTCATTAAATTTTTTGAATGTAAATATGTGTACTGAATAAATATGTGTAAATATGTGTAAATATGTGTATTTCTTTTTCTATTGCATGAAATGCACACATTCTAAATTTAAATTGTTTTGTGTTAAAGATTTTTGTGCACCATGTAAATCTTTAATGACAAAGACATGTTTTTAGCCTTGTAACCATTAAGAAAATATAATATTTATTATATTGCTGTTATTTTGTACATATTTTTCACTCAGAAATGTCTTTATCAAAATAAGTTTCCAATGTTATTCAATTCTCAAATCGCCCAAAGCATTGTATATTTGGTTTGCTGTGGATCTTTCTCACGTGTGCGTCTCTACTGCAACTTTTTGATTCGAGATTATAAAGTTGTACTTTTTCCAAAGCTATTTTTAACTGTTTTCGAATTACAAGGAGCCAAATGTTGCTACTAACATAATGAGGGAAAATGCCATTGCATATGTGTCTGGTTTTCTTCTAATGAAGAGTTTCAAACTCCACTCTTGTCTGAAATGCACCAATGCTCTTTCATCTACAGAACTGGATGATAGCAGAAAGTTCTTCTGCCACTTTAAAGCATTCGATGAAAAGAAATCTGATTTAGGAGGACTACAATCACCATCTTCTCCTTATCTGGAATACATCATCAAACTTGAAGACACATTTATTAAGACGTTTTCTGTCTACACAAAGAGCGAAGGTGTTGGTCGAAGTATATTAGACACCGTCAAGTCCATACCAAAGGAATTTGATTGCTGTAAGGAATTCCCATTTGAGTTCTTGCAGAAACTTTTTGTAAGAATGCGTATTTATTACGCCATAAAATTTGCGAACCGCATATTCGCAACAACTAAAAGAAAGACAGAAAGTACATTAAAGTCACACACCTTTGAGGGCTTTGTGCATATAATTTTTGTCCTTTATAAAACTAAAAAAAAAGCTTTTATATCACAATAATATATTTAACATGTAATACATCCAAGTTCATTTAAGTCCTCAGGACTTGTGAACCTCAGAACCTGTTCAAGCTTTCCGACTGAATTTCGCTATAAATATATTAAATAAATGCATTTGTTACATGATATATACAAAATACTTGCCTTTTTATTTCAATTTCTTTCAAAAAGATGCCGAAAACAGCCAACAGCTCAAAAAATCTACATTTTAACCCACTTTACGGCTTCCACTCCATATATTTTCATAGTAAATGTTGTACACTTTACTGGCCAGAGTAATGGCGGCCGTCACATTTCCGGTATGCGCGAAACAAACTGCGCGCCACGCTTACATCAAAGGTTACCGACGCGAGTTGCCCTTCTATTATTCTCTATTCTATGCTTCTATTATTCTCTATTCTATGACGTATGTATAGTCTTCAAGGTATTTGCCATATTTTGAAAAGGTAGGCAAATCTCAACACAAAGAAAAAGAAAGTGTTTTCTTGACGATGAATTATCGTCCACCAGCGGTGTGAAGTAAACATCTATATAAATTATAAGAGCGTGACCACAGTACAGTATGTAGTTACTATTCAAGACCGTGACTTTGTTGGTCTAATGTTGCCGAGAAAGTTGTGTATGACCTCATCAAAAACTTGAGGTATGGGCTTATCGTTAAAATGAACCTCAACAAAAGAAGAAAATATCTTATCTGCGAGAAGCGACAATGTTTCATTTCGTGAACACTATCACATCTAACAATCGAACAAAGTTGGCATTTTAAAAGAAATGTGTTTAAAACAAATATAGTGTTAATAAACAATATCAGTTGTGTAGAACGCAATGATATACACAATGATTTGTTTTTTGTGCGAGAAAATCTAAGTTTTGACGATTGGTAAGTGTGATTTTTTAAGTCTAAAAATGTTAAAAACACTTAAAACAGTCAAAATTATCGTAATGACAGATTACCAAAAAGCTATTGAATTGCAAAATCGTCAAGACTACGAACGGTTGAGTTGACATAATTAATTGAATTTACTCATGATGAACAATTTGGTTATAATAAACAAAATGAATTTGCAGGAAATAAATGTTTGCAAAAAGTATTGTGTAGCAATTAATTTCTACTCAATTGGTATTGCCGTATTGGTTGTTTCGACCTAAGTAAATTAGTTTATCTCAGACCAATCTTTATATCATATTTTTTGGTGGTTAACCATCAAATTGTTACAGTGATGTGTCTAAAAAATTTAATTCTATAAAACACTCAAGCATTTCCTCCTTTTCGAAAATGTTTTTGTATCGTAGTTTTCACTGATTATCTTTCGTGTAAAAACAGTATTTATAAAATAAAAACAAGAAAACGAATGCGCTGATTGGTCTAGAGCCGTGTTTGCATTAGCCTGTGCAAAACACATCTGAGCTCAACCAATCAAATCCATAAAAACAATCAACCAGTCAAAGATAATTTGCAAATCGATCATGAATACATTTCAGAGGAAAAATTAAAATGTTTGTCTTTTTCGCATTATTTTTATTTTATAAAAGAAATAAAGATGTTTTTCGTGTTTACACTTGCTTATGCAAACCTCGGAGACGTTTGTGGGAACTCTCGAGCAGGTGCAACCAACGGCTTGCACTGATCTGCTCTCGAGTTCTCCCAAGTCTCCTCGGTTTCCATAAGCCTGCGCAAACACAGTAAACATCTTTTATTTCTTAATAGAAATCAAGAGAGTAAATGATGGAAATATTTTGAACTATATATTTGAACAGTAATAAACCGGTATGTTTTTAAAAGCAAGTATACCTGACCGCTTGTTCGCTCCAGATCTTAAAAAATCATTGGTTTAACCATTCAAAAACCATTAATCTTAAAAAACCATTGGTTTAATCATGGTTTAACCGAGTTTGAATATACATCACAGCTATTTGTAACCAAGAGATGGCGAGGAAAACGTATTTGATATCAAAGTCTGGACAGTATAATTTTGAAACGTAGAACGAAAAGTTTTATCATGGAACAGAAGTGAAATTTAAGAATAAAAAAACAATTCAACAAGTTTACGTGCTTGATGACTGAATTAATTAAAGGACTTCTTGCTATTATAACAAATAATATAATAATAATTACAATAATGTAACGTAACAGTACAATTACGATAAGAGCTGATTTTGCATTAACACTTCCTTAGGAAAAAGATATAATTATACGAAAATGCAACATGCTTATGCATCTCTTTCGGCATGGTTGAAGACATTTGACGAGCATTGACGAGCATTGAAAGGAAGGTATATTCAATCAACACAAATTCCACACAAGAAAATAGAACATGCAGTTTTTGACGCAGGTTTTAATGCAAAATCGCAATTTTCAAGTACTTATTTTCAATAAATTAGTTGGGGGAGTAGATTTTCTAACGATTCTATCATGCCTATTGGTAAGGTTACGAACGTTTGTAACACTATAGCGAAATACCTTTTTTACTCTGAAATATCATCAGCATGCATCCTTCATATAAATAGACGTCGATCACAATTCAAGTTCGATCTCTATCTATCAATATTGAGATATATATACTATACAATAGAATCTATACGTGAAAATTTGTCAACACGCCTTTATACACTGGATATCAACAAGAAAGTTTCCTTTGTAAAAGTACATAACGTTCAGAAGAAAGTTAAATGTTTTTATTTAATTTTCGACATTACGGTCTTATAATTCATTGTTTCCAAAAAACAAGCAACGCATGTCATCATAGAAATAGGTTTATTATAATTTAACAAAAGTATTCGTATCGTTTCCAAGTAATTTTAATCTACTTTAATCAGCCAGTTATTAAAAAGGAATTTTGTTAATGGTGAGGATGACTTCAATACAGTTTTAAGACCGCTATGTCACCGAAATTTAGAACGACTAAATTGTCCAAACCAAAACCTGCTAAAATATTAAGTTTCCTGTAACAGTAATAAATTTCAACCATGCAACGTGTTCTTCCCATAAGGAAATACGTGTAAAGCGGACTTTGCAGCATGTGCAGTATTATGATGAAAGGACGCAGGGTCAGGTATTGTTAACCAATGCTGCTAAAAGCCGTACGTAACAAATGCGACTTACTTGAACACAATTTAAGCACTAATTTACTTAAATAAACTTACGTTAATTTCTTAGCATACATAGGCAAGTACAAATCAAAGTAGCAAAGACAACCTAACGTGCATGGCTTAAATTAAAACAAGTACAAAATAGTTACAGGTACAAATACTTTCTAGCCAAAATTTGAATAACTTTAAACACCTTATAAGAGATTTGTAGTATCTGATCATTATACAAACATCAATTCTGTGGGTTACACCACTAAATCATTCAAGCCTTGGCCGAACAGATTATCTTAAGAATGCAGAGACCTCCACTTCCAAATATAAACCAATGTTTACGGGAAACGCGAACGCCAAGGCCATCCATCGTAAAAGGTTATGTCCTTCAGTAATACGTACATTTTCAATGCGATGATCGCAAGTATACGAGAAAGTACACACACGGAAGAATATATATGGCAGAGAAAACATCCAAGAAGTCCTGAAAAGGTGCGTCACCAAGATCCCAACTCAACTGCACAAAAACGTACCAAACACAGAAAATGAAAGAATAGAGTAATGGAAAAACGTAAAATACAACACAATGGTTTAATTCCACCAATCGTTGGAGCGACCACTATTGGAGTTACCACGTTGTGAATAGCCACCATAGTTACCATAACCATAGTTACTTCCTCCTTCATAAGAACCAGCATAGTTGCCAGGAGCAAATCCCCCATAGCCTTGGCCATAACCGCCTGCATTACTCTGCATGTAACCACCGCGATTGGCTTGTTGACGATAATCACGAGAGCCAAATGCACTATTGCCAGTTCTATAACAAAATTGTACACAATACATCTATCATGTTGTCAAAACAGTTTCTTAAATTTAGCATGTCGACTAGCACCTTTATTTATTAATACTTTTGCTTTCACTGAAAGTAAAATAGATTATAGAGGCGGTTTGATTTTTCGAATGCGTATTTTCAGAAGACATCACAAACAAGTAGCACTTCTATATTTAAAATCCCAACATGGCGTCATCGTGTTACAACTTTCTACGTACTAAAAACTGCCACTGACAATGTGAATATTTTCATTTATAAATTACAAACATACATAATAAAAAATATAGAAAAAAACTCCACCAAATTCAGTTGTAGTAACTAGTGAATTAGTGAATTTGTTCATATGAATTGTTTGAAAATATGCAACAAAAACGTGTTTCAAAAGTAAAGTTTGAATCCTTTAAGTGCCTTTTAAATTAAAGAACATAGCCGAAGCAACTGAATGCTATCATGCATTGTGTTGACAGATAACAATTACTTACCGACGATATCCTTTACTACGCGATCCACCACTGCTTTGATATTCGCTAGCAATAGACTCCAACCAAGGTGGCACCTCCTGTTTTGCTTCACCCAAAATATTCACCAATACTTTACTGATATTTTTGTTTCGGTCATTGAAGAATGAAGTTGCCAAGCCTGCACAACAAAGATATCAACGAATAGTAAAATCTATTTCTGTATTTACTTGTTTGAGCGCCGCGGCGTTCTTCAAATTTTTAGATCTTTAGATGAGGCGCTCATTCGGGGGCGGTGCTGTTCAGAAAGATCTGTCAATTATGGGTTGTAACAAGAAAATTTAACCGAAAATAAACACGTTTTTACAATGTTTTTACAAGAAAATAAATTTCTGAGGCGATTTAAGATTTGTGGTTGTTTTGTATTAGCGTTTTCAACAAATTTGATGGTGTGTGACCGTGTGTCGATTAATCATGAATTTGAAAATAATTCAAAGCGGCGCAAAACGAGTGAATAAGGTGAACAATGAAAAACGCACAAAAGCTCGTTAACCAAGGACAGATTTTTTTGGGGGTGCTACCCCTCAAAATATCAGATTTAAACATCCTAAATAAATGTTTCACCTAACTGTCTGCTTTAACTCTACCACGTTATAATCCCACCTGCTGTAATGTTTGATCATAAGCTTGTTAAAACGTCTTTGTCACCGAACATACATTTAACACATTAATTAAATAAAAATATTCGTATCATGAAACGAAAGATGACAGGAAGAAAAAGGTTTGAATACGAGCGATTAATTTCGGCATACCATAAAAAACGGCAATTTTTATTAATTTGCGTGTTTCATTGTGTTTAATGTGATAATAAGCACAGGCCTAAAAGTATACACGAAAAAACTTTCACCCAATAATATATAACCGCATTGTTCTTAGTTAGACAATCAAAATTGAATTGCAACTTTCGAATAAAACTTTTATAGAACCGAAGAAGTTACCTGTGTTGCCGACACGACCTGTGCGACCGATCCTATGGACATATTCCTCAATATCACTGGGCATATCAAAGTTGATCACATGTTTCACATGTGGTATGTCCAGACCACGAGCTGCAACCTAAAACAGTTTAAGGCTTAGTTCAAACGGCGAACTTCTCATGTGTAGTGCCAAATTACTATTAAGTTCGGCAGAGCACGGCAAAATAGGAATTTGATTCAAACGTCGATTTTAATTCAATCGAACTTAATTCCTTCATATGACCTTTCGTTCCTTTACGTCAGCGTTTATACAACGCACATGCTCAAATAAATAGCGGGATTTTCAATATGGCGAAAAAAAATAGCACAAAGACAGATCATTTTTATGCGACATATGCTAGAGCGTGCCAAAAATCGAAAGAGAATGCTTGATTCTCTTATTCAGTTATTGATTAATAGAAGAATCATAGCAATCAGAGCTGCGATCACCCTGATTCTGTGTTTATTCTCGCAAAACCCGTGTTCAACATCAATAACGCCTCGATCATGTCGGAGACTTGCTAGAAATAAAGGATGGTGGAATCTACTTTGGGTTAAATATTCTGCAATGAGATTCAAGAAAACATTTAGAATATCTCGGGAAACGTTTCTGTTTATTCTTGCTCGCCTAAGACACGTACTCGAAAAGAAAAACAAAGTTGAAGAGCCCATTCCTCCAGAGGTTCGACTAGCTGTTTGCTTGTATCGCCTTGGAAGAGGAACATATTATACAATTGCAGAATTGACTGGGCTTCGTGTTTCCACCGTATGTTCTATTACTGATGAAGTTTGCAAAGCCATCGTTGAACATCTCTGGGACGAATATGTCAAACAGTCTGAGCAAGATTTCAAAGATTCAATGATTGATACGGAACACTTTTGGCAGTTCCCTTGTTGTTGGGCAGCCCTTGATGGTTGCAACGTTTCTACAAAGCGCCCACCAGGTGGTCAGGAAGCAAACAAAGAGTATCACAACTTTAAAAACTTTTACTCTATTGTTCTTATGGAATTGGTTGACTCCCACTATAGATTTATTTGGGGAAGCTGTGGCTACCCAGGTAACTCACACGACGCTATTATTTTTCAATCCACACAGCTTTGGGCTAGTATTCAGGAAGGAAACTATTTGCCAGCAATTGGGAAAGTAATTGGTCAGCAAACAGTCCAGCCACTTATAGTTACTGACTCTGCTTTTCCATTTACCAAATGGCTTATGAAGCCTTATACAGATGCTGTCCTTTCTGAAAGGAAAAGGTATTTTAATTACAGACTAAGCCGTGCATAAATGGTGACAGAGAGTGCTTTTGGACAGCTTAAAGGTAGGTGGCATGTGCTGTACAGAAAATGTGAAAGTAATAGAAAAAGTGTCAGAATGACTTTCCTGGCTTGCCTGGTCCTCCATAACATTTGCTTAATGAAGAAAGATACTATCTCAAAACAATTGGATCTTTCACAAGACCCTGGCAAAAGTGAAACGCGAGATAGAGATTCAGTAAGAGAATTGCTACAAATGAGAGCATGTCCTAAAGTCAGGGATACTTCCAAAGAAGCAGATGATATAAGAAATGCTTTGGTGGAAAAACTTAGGTTGGAGGAGACTGGAGAAGTGGTTCAATTTCTTTGACTTTTGAAAAAAAGTTCATTTTCATATATTGAACAACACATTCATAAAAAATTAATTTTTTGGCACTTTCTAATTCTCAATCTTAACTAATGTGATTATATAATGCTTTATTGTGCACAAATAACATTTGATTTGAACATTTTGATAATATAACAACATAAAGTTTGTGTAGCAATTAGTAAAAAATATCTTTATTATTTGTTATGTCTTTATTAATAACACAACTGAATAATAAGAACTAATTAAACATTGCAAGTGCTTCAGGGCATAATAAATGCCATAATATGTTATTTTTATTCACATACATAATTTCTATAAAGATTGGTATTGTTTGAGATCATAGTCTGAATGACTGTTGAAAATTTGGAATCGGTTGAAAGTTTGGCATTGGTTGAATATTGGGTTGTGGTGGAAATGGTGAGTTATATTGATGTGGTGACCATGAATGATGTGCACCATTTGATGAAGTTAGACAATTAAGAAAAAGCTTGGTCATTTCAATTTCATGCTTTCTTGCTATTTCAGCTTCATCTTGCATGAAACGTAGCAGCTCCTTGGATGGATCATTGTCCACCATAGTCTTTAAAAGAGCTATAGCTTCACCAACATTGTCTTTTGTTGACAATTTTCTTCTTTTCATGGGAACAAATGATTTTTTCACACTATCTTCACCTTCTTCCAAGTGTCGAATTTCTTCCTCTTCTTCCAGGTCAATCAGAAAAGGATTACCACTGGAGCTAGAACTACTGATATCACTTGAAAATGAAGGTTCTATTGCCATCTCAGGTCTGCAAGAGTCTCTGGATTGAACAAGCTGAAACAACTGCTTGAACCATACACCATAGCCTTTGTCTTCTTGGAAACGTTTTATGCCACTAGCAGTTTTGATGGTAATTGCAGCATGTTTGCATTCTCCAATGCATTTCTTAAATTTATTACGCATTTGAGACACAGTAAAGTCTATGCTTTCTTTTCTTTCATGGCACCTTGCTTTAAGCTCTGTCAAAATATTTTCGTATATATTACCATTCTTTTGGTTTTTTGTATTCGTGAAAATTAATTTTTTCTTGTAGTAATCACTGTAAGCAACAATATCGATATAATCATTTAGAACGTTCTCGGTCTACAAGGCTTTCCTGCCAGCTTTCTTTTTTGAACCTTTGTCATTATCATTAACTTCAGATTCATCATCAGTTGAGCCACTACAAATAAAATGTTGGTCAAAATATTAGTACGAATACGGTATATTGAATAAAAGAAAATTATAATTCTTGGGGCTTTAACAATAATTATTTAGGTCTAACCTTTTTCTTCCAAATCAACGGAGAGGGTGTTGAAGTTTCTCGGCTTTCAGCGTAAAAAGTATTTGAATTATACGGAGTGGAATGATTTTCCATCTCCGGTGATTCGACTGGATGCTTATCGGTGGTAGAATTCCTTACACAATTTGGGCAATATCCAACAGATACTCCAGCCTCCCAACCAATAGTTTCCTCATCGTCTTGAAATAAACTACAACGGTTACAAACTGGACGATTGCAAGTTATACACTTGTATTTCGTTTCTTTTTGGCAAAAATTACAGTCAACAATCGATTGGCTTTGTCTCGACGAAGAAGCCATATTGTTTACAAATTCGCGCCATTTTACTCGGGTTTAGATCATGGATTGAATAGGATATGTACGCACGAATAGGGTGATAACGCACTCGTTTCACGTCGCTTTTTTAAGTTCGGCACATGAGAAGGTCGCCGTTTGAATTGACAACGTGCCGTGTCGAACTTAATGCATTAGGCATGGCAAGCCCAGCCGAGCTATATCCTTGAGTCGATCAAAATTAAAACCGCCGAACTTAATTGATTCATACGTCGTGCTTGTCATGTACTTAATGCGTTGTATTAAGTTCGGCACATGAGAAAGCGTCTGAACTAAGCCTAAGTAACTTGTAGCAGAATTTTTTTGCAATTGCAGCATTACGTAGGGAGTTAATAAACAATTATTGGATGAGGTTGAGCATAATATCAAGTATTATTCAGACCGAGTCAATGTTATCTGCAGAAGCGAAGCTTATTCACTTCAACTAACAGAAATATTATTAAAACATATCAATGTAAAACATTTCAAAAACTTTCGCCAATTAACCCTTTGGTCAGACGGTTTATTAGAACTTTTTCTCGTTTGCATAGATTGTAAATATGTTCAAAACAAGCTTAGCCGCTTTTTCCCGCCTTCTTTTTGTTCAAAAGCTTGCGCATATCTTTTTTACAAACTATGGCAAACATCGCGTTTATTTGATTTTTTCAAAACCGGCTTTCAATTGTATCAATAATTGCACAAAATATTATTTGTAGATAAGACGTTATAAAGACGCACTTTATAACAACCAAATAACGCTAGTTTCTTCTTAGACTGTTAAAGTGTGATTATAGCTACTAACCCGAATCCTATTTATACGATGCAATCAATAAACGCGAACTTTTTAAATTAATTTAATTATGTTCATTTACGTCATCGTCAATTTAAGAAGGCAATTTTGATTAGAGATCAGATTAGTCATCATTGGACTGATAACTATAACAACCATTGCAATTGGTAATTGGATAAGCTATGACCTTTCCACTGCAGCTAAGGCTAAAGGCTTCTGTTATAACCATGATCAAGCAAATAATATCAAGTTTCGTAAACTAGTTAAGGGTATTTTAAATATTTATTCGTGTGATTAAGAATAAAAGATGTTTACTGTGTTTGCACAGGGGTTATGAAAATCGAGCAAACCTTTAGAAGAACTTGAGAGATGATCAATGCAAGCCTAAGACCGAAGGTCGAGGGTTGCAGCTGCTCAAAAGTTGTCACAAACGTCTACGAGGTTATTGTAGACACATTCGGCGTCTCTACAATGCATATAAAAATGCATCAGCTGGAAAAACGTCAATATATTACTCTGCAGGCAAGATTTGCCAACACATTTAGTGGAAAAAGGTAGTTAAAGACTTCCTCAAATGGTTCACCGGACAGTAAATTTGCCACGATAAATACATAATATAAGCGAGGAATTTGTTTCCGTGAAGCAATCTCAAACAAGCCTGAGCACAAAAATGACGGAACGCACAGGATTAAAATAAGGCATATGGTGTTCAAGATATTAAAACTTCAGGAAATTTGGTCTATGTGTATGCAAAGCAGTTTCTATATCGTGGCTTATGTTTGTGCTATATTTAAACCAAATGTGTTATAGCTAACTGCATTTTATTTGTGTCCTATTTTAGGGCAAGCTATTTCAAAAGTGGTTCTCGGAAAAAAAATTCTTTCTAAAAAGAAAGGAGCTATCGACAAACACTTGCTTTACATTATCAGACTTGACATAACAAACTCACCGCAGTGGCCACAAGAATTGGAGTTCTACCACTCCGAAATGATTGCAGTGAATCTTCCCGCTCACGCTGGGAGCGATCGCCGTGAATGGACGTTGCAGGATATTTCTCACGATATAAGTAATCTTCCAATGCATCCGCTCCTTTCTTCGTCTCCACGAACACCAACGTCAATGAGTCAGGACCTAAAAATAAACACATCTTTGTCGAAGACAATAAAACCTCATTTTCTCGTAGCTACATATATATATATATATATATATATATAAGTTTGAAAATTTGTAATCCAGGCATTGAATATATAAAAGATAAACGTTTCTCCGGATTTTTAAATGATTTTTATTAAGCTTTCGACTCGTTGCTTCGAGCCTTCATCAGAATGAAAAATATTTATTTACACGTGCTAAAAGCATATTTAACTGCTAAAAGCACGTGTATCTAACTGCTAAAAGCACGTGTAAATAAATATTTTTCATTCTGATGAAGGCTCGAAGCAACGAGTCGAAAGCTCAATAAAATCATTTAAAATCCGGAGAAACTTATCTATATATATATATATATATATATTAAAGAAAAGTAAAAACAACTACAATTTTATCCCGACAAGCCTGTTTCGTGATTGCTCACTCATCAAGGGATATAATGAGTGAGCAACCACGAAAAAGGCTTGTCGGGATAAAATTGTAGTTGTTTTTACTTTTTTCTTTAACAAATATATCTATATCTATTAGCTCTAATTATATGTATTGAACACTTTTAACGAAAAAATTATAAACAAAAAACTTCCTATATGTAGCATATATAACAATAAAAAATAATACTGGAATAGATGGCATGTAAGATGAAAACAGTTCGCCGCTTACGCAATATATGCAAATAATGATTGGTGCGAAGTATTTAAAAATCAAGCACGATAAATTTATTTTTGTAGGGCCGCATTTGGCGAAGAACTCTAATCTTTTCAGCAAAATATCAGATAAAAACAGATTTAAAAATTCGCCATTTTACCCCGTAACCTCAATTATTATATTTCAGTTTCCGGGCCTAACAACCGGTCACGCCAGAGATTGTCCATTGAACTGCAATTATTTTGCATCTTGAATGTACTTATCTAACTTCCCTGTTCTTTTCGATGTTAGAGATGAAAACACTGTCAGAACCGCTAGCCCTACTCATATCTAACCGTAACATACATACAGGTGACACTGGTGAGTATGGACGTTGAGACAGGAATCGGTAAAAGGACTTAACATTTTTTAGTTGATAGCTTGCAACTTTTTCATGGCTTGAGCTTGCTTTCTCCGGGTCGCTTCATTTCTTTTAAAAAGAAATTTTCCGCCTAATTAGAAGAATTTCACTGATTCCGCTTAATTAGATGAAGAATTTCACTTGTAGTTGAAGCGTTGGCAATCGTCCAACTTGCATAGTTGCTGAAGAAAAGGAAAATGCTGTAGACAGGAAAGAAAATGTTAGCGTTTCGTATTGTAACGGTTATTACAACGCACGATATTTATGAAGATGACGAAGCTGAAGAAGAGAATCATGTGATATGACATATCGTAAAGACAAAACATCAGATGCAAACTGGCGGCAAAAGATCTATGATGAGTTCAGAGCACATATATTACATAGGAGACATCATTGTCCATAACGAAAGCTATAAGCGAAAGCTTATATTCACAAACAACAAAAGAGCAACAGATAACGAAATATATAGACACGAATTGGAAGAAAACAAAGGAAGCTGCAAATAATTACCATGCACAGCACAGCAAATGCGAACCAACTTCAAACGGAGCATTCATATGTGTGACAAAGTTGCTTAACTAGAAAAACAGCCACTGTCAACAAGCGCTTTGTGGAAGAAAAAGGATTCGGAAAGTGGTTTGATGCCTTATTTCCATTGATGAAAGGCAGAGATTCATGCCAGCCGGAACAATCCATAGAACCATCAGCAGCCCCCAAGCGAAAGTTCGCCAAGTACACCTTTTCATGAGTATGATGTTGATGGTAAAGAAGGTGAAGATGTTGATGAAACTCACAATAAACAAAATAAACAAGAGAAACACTTCAAGAACATGTTTATTCCTGTAAGGAAAAGAAAAAAAGAAAGAACAATAATGCAGAGTCAGTCGGTAAAGTATTGAAACTTGTGGAGACATTGACTAAATCGGATGCGAAAAATATTTTGAAATTTATGCGGAAAGATGTTGAGAGGTGAAGCTATAGTGCTTCTAAAGATTTTTTCAAACAAAAATAATAGAGTGCAAATTCAAGGCTTTCCTGCGCAGCTAACATTTCATGCAGGAAGTCCCTCAGCCCAACAAGTTTATTTATATGGAACACCTCAATCGACTAGGAGAGATCAAACTACACCCCAAACCTCCCCTCGTGGTTACGAAGGCAACAGTATGCAAGCTGGGGAAAGAAGTTCACCATTTCGATCACAAATGAGCTCATTAACAAAACTTTGACTTGAACTATAAAAAGTTCAACTTAGTTATACACAAAGTAATTATTTTGTTATTTGTAATTATATTTTTGTATATATTTAGCTTCCATCAACTTAGAGTGTATACTGAGGTTTGTTCAATCAATGGCGCTTTCTGTGCTCTTGCTTTTCTGCCAAAAGTTTTCCTTTCAAAACAGAACTTATCTACCAGCTTCTACAGAGCTTTCTTTGACCTTCTGACAGCTGATCATGTTAAGCATGTCTCTTACGACATCCAGGTCGTGCCGTTATATTTATGGGTCAGAAAACACGTCAAGCTATTTAGGTAAGGACTCATTATGCTCAATGCAAAGATTATGCAAAACTTTACAAGCTAAAGTTTATAAGTGGTTTTTTCACTGCACTCACACTCTTGGAGTCACACCCGAAATCTTCCTTTTACCTGACCGTACACCCATTCAGAATCATCTTTGCTCGTGATAAACGATAATTAAAGTATCTCTCTTGAGGTGTAAGATTAGCATTGGTATAGGGTTTCATGTTTTTGGATATTAATGGAACGGCAGTGTATTCAGTGAGATCTTTCCACAGGTTGGTTGTATGGAGGATAAAGCCAAGCGCACACGAAAGCTTAGCTTAGCAAAATGTCATTCGTGCCAAGTGGCGTAAGCGAGTTGCTTTCGTGTGCGCGTGCTGTTTCCGACGACTTTTGCCATTCCAGGGAGGACTGGCAAATATCTAACATGTTTGATATTTTTTCCCACGCGTGGCGAAATGCTTTGTCGATTTGTCCGTGTGCGGCGTCTTGAAGCAAATTGCTTTTGTGTTTCCAATACAGCGCTTGCTCAATAAATTTCGTATCAAACCAAAATAGCGGCCTCGACTGAACAAAATGATTCAGTCGAAGAAGCAATTTCAGATGATAAACTTTTGTCTCCGTTTAAATCTGCTGATCGAAGGCCAGAGATCAACTAGTTTATTATCTAAAGTTTATCATCTGAAATTGCTTCTTTGACTGAATCATTTTGTTCAGTCGGGGCCGCTATTTTGGTCAACTGAAATGAGGGGCTTGCTCAACTGAATGAGTTAAATGCTGCGTCAATTTATGGTTCTGAAGAAGACGAAGTAGCACTTGTATGCCTGCTGCTAATTCTCCGTAGAAACAGACATTTACGAGCTTCTTGTTGTAAAACATGGACGATTTCTTATTTCCTCAAAAGCAGACTATCTTTTGTCTCCGTTTAAATCTGCTGATCGAAGGCCAGACATCAACTAGTTTATCATCTGAAATTGCTTCTTCGACTGAATCATTTTGTTCAGTCGGGGCCGTTATTTTGGTTTGATACGAAATTTATTGAGCAAGCGCTGTATTGGAAACACAAAAGCAATTTGCTTCAAGACGCCGCACACGGACAAATCGACAAAGCATTTCGCCACGCGTGGCAAAAAATATCAAACATGTTAGATATTTGCCAGTCCTGCCTGGAATGGCCAAAGTCTTCGGAAACAGCACGCGCACACGAGAGCAACTTGCTTACGCCACTTGGCACGAATGACATTTTGCTGAGCACATAGCTCTCGTGTGCGCCGGGCTTAAGAGCATCATAGGTATTTCCAGGAAATCCAGCATATGGCCAAACTAACCTACATTTAGCATCAGCGAGACCCATTAATACAATTGAATGAAAATTTTTAAACTTATGATACCCTTTTGCTGCCTCAGGACCTCCTTCAGGACATTCAAAAGAAATGTAGCAACCACAAATTGTAGGCCAACAGCATGTTGCCATATTCCTTCCATATCAGCGATCTTTGGTTTCAGTTGCTGCTCAGTAGCTGGAAAATGAGAGGTAACAGAATCTTTCCTGAACCACTAATGCTTCACAAAGTTCGATTATTATCTTCTGAAATGTAGCAATTCCAAGACAACACATGGCTGACAGTGTATAATAGTCACAACGTATTAGTCTTAAATGCACATGGCCAAACGACAAAAAAGCGACACTGCTGAGCGTTCAGTTATACGATTTTTTCCAATTTGTTTTCAATTCTTCACAGAATAAAAGCAAAAAGATTCTTAGAGAGACGAAAACTGAGTAAATCGCCCAAATAGAGTCCAACCAGTAGGTCCATGTTGATGTTCTTTGAAGAGAACGACTGAAACGGATTCGAGAAATCTCAGACTTCTCAAAAAAAAATATATTATGTAATAACAGGCACAGCTGAACGACATTTCTCCTTTTAGAAATAATATGTAGCAGTAAACTGAACTTCTTTTATCTCCTCTCTCGTGTAATTTTTAAAATTTGTTGCCCAATAATAGCCTTTCTGTGAGCCGCCATTTTTTGAAGGAAGGTAAGTTTCTGCGTATACTAACTCAACGAATTGAATTCGACGAAATATCGTCTTATAAACTGAGCTTACCACTTCTGCTACATTTTCTGAAATTCGAGGTATAAGCTAGGATTAAGAACACTAGGTACTCTCATAGTTAGCAACAGATTGTCTCGATATCGCTTAGTGCAGGAGAGCTTTTAAAATATTGTGGAATATTTACTAACAATAAAATATTTTCAAATTCTTTTATTTCATTGTATGACATACCAGAAGCATTGAGAAGGTCCAACAAGAAAGATCTCTTGTCAACATCATCGACCCAAACGACCTTTTGAGTGATATTTTCGCTTGTTGAACCAACACGTCCAACAGCCAAGAAAATGTAGTTGTCTAAGAAATCACGTGCAAGTACCTTAAATAAAAGAAGTTAGAACTTGAATCTTGGCGAAATTTTAAGTAGAAAAAAGGCGTGATCCGATATCAGGATTATACATAATGCAGTAAAAAATTTTATATCAGTGAACGTTTTACTGCATTATGAAATTTTAAGTTCTTTAAATACTTCTTAAATGGGTGCGAGAAATATTTTTTGTGGGTAGCTTATACACGCATACTAACAATACAATCTTGCCGTTTTTGATTTGCAGCAATTAAGTTTTACGAGGTTTGCAGCTAAATTATATAGCTATATTAAAAAACAGCTTTACAAATTTAGTAACTTCACTCGTCAATTATCTCTCAAAATTTACTTTTCACATTAAGGAATTGAAAATATCATTTAACCAGTCCTTGAAAATCAACTTTATGTGGCCAACCAGCCATTTCAAGAGAAAGGCGTACCTGAATTTCCTTTGGAAATGTAGCACTAAACATGAGGGTTTGCCTTTGGCCTGTTTTTGGCATCGAGTCCTTCTCGACAATTCTACGAATTTGGGGTTCAAATCCCATGTCCAACATGCGATCTGCTTCATCCAAAACCAAGAACCTTTAAGAAAATGGGTTCATGTCATATGAAAAAAATACTAAATAGTTGTCTTTTTTCCCAGAGTGAACTTTGTCATCAAAAAGTTTAAGTATAACAGAGAATTTACGTGACACTAAATTTTTCATCCACTTTTTCATGCTTGTTTGAGGACAAAAGAATCTCACCTGATTTGTTCAATTGGGTGAAGAAAAACGAAAATCACAATTTATTTGTATTCCGTTTGTGCTTAAGCCTTTACACAGATTGCATTTGCATGAAAACAACTTAAGCTATAGTCATGACTAATAATAGCAATTCGCAGTACAACTCTGTTTTGACATAATCTTTCATCAAGCTTTCTGTGGGAGCTTCACAACACAATAGAAGCAAAATATATGAAAATATACTACCAAACTGTAAACAACTCATTTTGTAATTGCTCTTAGAACCATACACAAAATTTGGGTTTACGTTTAAGCTTTAATAATTCTTAAGAAATAAGTGATGTTCACTGTGTTTGCACAAACTTATGAAAACCGAGGGGATCTTTGGGAGAACTCGGGAGCAGATCAATGCAAGAGAGTTCTCACAAACGTGTCCGAGGTTTGCATAAGCTAGTGAAAACACCACAAAGATCTATTTTTCTTTTGAAGATTTGATTGATTGATTGATTTGATTGATTGATTGCTTGATCGATTGATTTGATTGGTTGAGCTCAGATTGCTTTGCACAGGTCAAAGCCAACACAGCTGCAGACCAATAACGTAAAAAATTTAATTATATTCTTTTGTTATTTTATTAAATCATTTTAAACTAAAGTTACCAGGTTCTGTAAATAATCAAATTTCGTTAGCTTTTGTCCCTACTATTGTCTCTTCAGTTTAGTCAGGAAATGTGACCTATAGTTTAGCAAGTAGTTTAACCTTTTTGTTGATGTGCTTGGGCAAACTGTACAAAGTATTGCTAAGTTGCCGCCTTAAAAATGTTAAAGCCAGGTATGTCGGAAAAATTTGACGGGTCGAATCTCTCCTGTCTGATCTTTAACAAGCATTGGATGAGATTGAGAATGATATCAAAAATTATAGTCACTATAGTTTAACACAGAAGCCTTCAAACTATTTTGTATCGGAAACCATAAAGTTTTCGTGCTTGTCGATGGCAATACATTGCAAATTATCTGTAGACCTAAAAATAACCTTTATAAGGTAAAAAAAACAGCAAAAATCCTAATTAATATATTGATCAGGGAAAAAAGTTAAACAGGATGTCATCTTAAACAGGATGTCTTGGTTCATGTAACTAGATTATGCTAGGTTGAATACTAATTAATTGCCAGTAAAATTAATCCAAACAAGGTTAAATTTAATTTTTTTACAGTGTACTTAAGTGAACTTCAAGTTATTACTACACTGAAATGGGCAGTCACTCATTTAGAAAAATATTTAGCTCAATCAATTCACAGAAAAAAAATTAAACTAAAGATCAGCACAGGACAAGACGATTTTAAATAAAAGGTGAGTCGACAAAAGCATAGTCATAAAATCGTCTACTGGGAAACCACAATACGAAATACTAATTCTTTTGATTGCAAATTTTTAAAGTTGTCATGCACAGTGGCATTTCTTACTTGCAAACATCCAAGCCAATCTTGCCACGATCCAACATGTCCACCAGACGTCCAGGGGTGGCAACAAGAAGATGACAACCGCGGTCAAGATCACGCATTTGTTGGCCAACATCAGCTCCGCCGTAGACGACGGCAGGACGTACGTGAGATCTATACGCAAACTAAAACCCAAAATATCTTTCTATTATTCTTTAAGCTACGTTGAACATTTAGAAGAAAAAAATCAAAATTCTGTAATGCACCTATAGAAAGATAATTCACAGAATAATGGCAGATATTTCACAAGGTTTGCGTTAGGTTTAGAACGGCGAGGATCAATGTTGTTCAGACTGGAATTACAATAAAATTTGCAAATTGGCTTGCAGATTTCAAGACTTTCAATAACAGTTCTCTCGCTGGTTCAAAAGTTTGAGTTTTCAAAAGATTAAGAGTTAGCTGCACCAGAGAACGTTAAAATACTTAGAATTATCGCAAATTTTTGCATATTTTGCGCGTGTCTTAGGTTAGAGAACTTTTTCCAAGAGTATACTTTTTACACCTTGATGCCAACATCTAAAGTATCTTTAATTGCTTGTACTGCGTTAAAAACTTTGCACTTCAGAACAAACGTTTCACCATCCAGAATTTAAGCCTGAGAGTTGAACTACTGTCATCTGGTCGGTGTTTCACGGGTCATCACGTTGAAGTTCGAGAGCGTAGTGATTTTATTACGGCTCGTTTTAAATAATCACGACCATTTCTAAAACTTCACTCCCCAAACAACCTCATCTCTCAAGATCTCGACCACGAGAAAATCACTTCCTTCAATTTCGATCGTCCATCTATAACAAAACATGTCTGCCTAATTGACATAATTTCCTCGGCATTAAATAGAGTTTCCCTTTGATGAATGAGTATTCGAGACGTTTCCAAAAAGCTTGCATGTATTCAATTATCCCTCGCTTCCGTATTTCTTCTTTTAGCGGGTTCAAATACTTCGGGCGCTTTCTTATCTCGATTATTCACACATGATTTTTCAATTCTAGTATGTAATTTGCATTCAAAACAGCATTGAATTTGGTGATAACAGTGGTTATTTCATATCATCCTTCACATAGCATAGCAATCAACTGGTCATGAACAATTCACTATCAATCGAGACTTTACTTTAACTCTACCCAAGTTAGTTTTCCAAGTTAGTTAGAAAATTGTTTTCATCATACCGATTAAACGCTCAAACTCACCTTCCGACAATGGGGCCCTGCTCAAGTTTAATCTTCAAGCAATTGAATGCTAGCGAAAAAGCTAATTAAACTTTTCATCTTTTCTCACGCATCTTAACCACTTTGCAGCAGCAACAAACGTGTGGTCTTTATTTGAGCAAATCGCCGACGGCCTACCTCTTTGCGTAATAAGAGGATTTAAATTAGGAAGAAATTCCTTTATCTCAAGAGTCGGTAGTAACTCTAGTTACACTGCACGAGTAAGACTGAAAATATAAACGATGTAGGACTTTCTTTTATTCTATTTCTGTCTGTACTTCATAAAAAATCGACCACAAATACATTTAATGGTGTGGATTGTTCGGTTCTACAATATGGCAGTAAACCCGGTGAAACGCACAGAGCTTTTACATCTATGAAATCTCGAGATAATCTTCTCGATTGTTTTACGTAACCGAGGTATCCGAAATTTCTCTTGAACCTTGGCCATTACCATTCCTATCCTCCTTGTAATACCGTGAAATGAGATCTATGTACGATTTCAGCTGTAAATAACACATCATCTGATAGGTAGAATGGATAATTTCACTGGATACGACCACGAGACTCTAACAGTTCATCTTTATACATCGTAAATCGCTGTTGATTTTCTTCCTCGGCAAAGTTGGACTGTTCGATTGCATGTTGTTGTGCTTTATTAACAAGAAATCTTCCTAGGTTTTCGACCTCAGCGGTTGATATGGCACATATGAACACCTCTTTGTGTTAGCTATATCTTTCGACAAATCTTTCGTCAGTACTGTCGTAAAAATACTTATCTCAACATCAACAGCAAACATGTCTCATTGAATGTTCTTCGCTGCCTGGCTTGCCTGACCTGATTTCGTGACTGAGTTGATACTCTATTGGTACTTCGTGCTCCGTTCCATTCCATTTCTATGCTATTCATAATTCTGGCTCTACTCCCTTGATTGTCAGTTGTAAAAACAGGTAGCCATAAAACATTCTCGACGTTTTTCAAATTCGACTGGCCACAAACTGACGACACTCCTGTTATGGTTAGACCAATGAAATGGAATCGTGTCATGCCGTCCAGCTGACAGTAAAATTACGTACAACCAAATTCAGAGCCATATGAGCAGCCACAAATTGCAATCTTGGGATGGTTAGAGTAGTTTGTGCGAGATTTGGCCACAACTAATGCTTTTCCCTTATTGCTAGAATCACCAAAGGAAGCTAAATGGATCTCGAGGATGGGTTCGTAATTTCTTGGCTCTCTGCATTAAAACGAGACAAACGGTGATAGCTACATCGCACTTCCACTTCGTCGTACGTTTCTCCAATTCTATTCTAACTTAACTCAACAATCTTGAAAAATCATTTTTCCTTCACAGCGGTGATATATAACCTTCAATTGTCTGTGGCTCATTGATTGAACTTCGGAATCAAGTTCAGGGTAGTTGAAGATTCCTAACAATGACTCGCTTCACTATCCAGCCGTGCACAACATTTGAACCCATTTATTTTTTCCAACACCACAGAATGCATGATCGCAGACCTCCCAACATGATTGGCTGTCATTCAAGATTCGTCAGAAAAGTTGGTTATGTCTCACAAATAGATGTATGGTGTCGCTTTGACTAACCTGGCATCTCTCTTTACTTTTACATTCGGAAGGATTGTATCTTCCCCTTTAACACAGTTAAAACATACTCTCTTCTGTACCAATATCTTTTTTCTTTCTTATGCTATCACAATCGCAGTAGAGTTGACTGAATTATGACCTCTGGAAAAGTACAGACATCCCTTAACAACTTAATCTTGACCCTGCGAGCTTTATCCTTTCTTAATTATGTTATTATCAGATTCCTTCACGAAACAGTTCCTTGTTTATTGTTCTAAGGCATTCACCATCTCTTAAAACAACCACTCACGCCAATTTCCATCGGTTATCGCTAGTTTTCCCTTGATCACCTGTAGTTTGCCTGATGTGAAATGAAGAGCCGCATCAAATTTACCAAGACTTTCAAGGGTGTGTCAGGAGGATTCTATTTTTCAACATATATGTTTCTTCTGAAATGCTTCGTGAACTTTGAGCAACATTTCTCCTTTAAAGTGGGCAATTCAAGAATCGTTCGGATGTATGCGCTCACTACTTCTCTGGTGTGCCCTTATCGTTTTATCATGTTACCATCAGTTCCTTAGTCTGCGTACCCTTCTCTTGTAAATGGTAAATAATCAACAAGCTTAAGTATTTTGAGATGAACTAATTCCCTGAGGTAAGAGAAGTTGGTCACATCAACAGATCGGTGGATCAGAGCTTCGTAAAGACCACAGAATAATACCCATAGTCTAGAGTATCGAAAAAACTTGGAGGTTACCACCAACTGAGGTATCTTTGCTGTTGCCGGTATTAGCTGTGCAGACTAGTTTGATCCAGCAGGTTAGGTTAGAGTTAGGGCTTTTATTTTCAGTTGAAGTAAAGTTCAATTTCCTCTTTTTTACCACCCGCTTGCATCTATTGTTTTTAAACTATTATATTACTAGTAAGTAATATTGTGTTTATTTCAAATATAATTCACCGTCCTTATTATACGTTGTCAGTCACTCCTAAATCACGCAACAGAAACGATTATATGGAAACCGGGCATCGATAAATAAAATCCATATCTTTCTTCTTTTAGCAAAAGTTCAATCAATTCTTTGTGTAACCGTGAGTTGTCTCGTTCATACAATTGATTTTCATTTTTCATATAGCATAGGTGAGAAAATTTAACAAACACAATACAAAACTACAACCAGCTTCAATAAGAAAAATTGAGCAGTATCTAGGTAACTGCTGCGAGAGACACATGCCTAACCTTTTTTGCTTCATCGAGAATTTGAATGGCTAATTCACGGGTCGGAGCAAGAATAAGACCGATAGGAAACTGCTTTCGTCGACCAAGATGCTTCATCTGTAAAAACATGCAACAAATTCAACAATGTTACCAAATTTCCTTTTAATAATTTAATACATAGCTATTAAGTAACAAAATTTTATGTTGGTGTTACAAATACTGTATACTCCCAATCAGCGCAACCTTCGATCAAAGCATTGTCATTATCACGAAGCGAAGCAGTGTGACAATTAAGCAAATCAATCCGCCATCTTGGCTTCATCTCTAAACTCATTACGTATTTTGTGCAAATTTTGCGCAAATAATACTCATTCCATGGTTCCAACGATACATGTATTGCAATTGTGTATGTAACTATTCAGTACGATAAACGCTATATGTTCAACAATTTATCTTTTGAACGTTTTTGAAGAGTATGATAGGTCGTTCACTCACGAGAAATCAAAAGCAAGCTTATTTTCATATGAACAGACAACATTGACAATACAATATTTATTTTCATACCCAAGACTTATTCAGACTAACTACAGATTGTGTAGCATAATATTTAGCTATTTAAACGATTAAGTTTTTCTAAACTCAAGCCATCATCAACTTTTTTCTTTTAACACTGTGTTTTTCATATTTTAATTTCTTCGATTACTTGCCCCCCCCCCTTCCCACACATTTTCTTTCAATCTTGTCCACTCGTCTTTTACAATCATATTTCATATCCGCTCTACATTGTACTTGCACATTCACTCTTATCTGATACCTTAACTATGTAAATAAGTAAAATAACAAAATCGCATTGGTATTTAATGCAGTTTGGTTTTAATGCGTATCGTTTATCTCACACTCTGGTCACAGTGCTCTGTGAAGAAAATGAAAAGATGAAAAAAGGCATTATTCTATAAAATCAAACGCTTATGGCTTTTTCAGAAACGATCTGCTCTGATTTGAACTTAAGTTTCATCCTTGAATGCAGAGGAATTGCACATATCAAATGTTTCATTGAATTCATTGCCCATAGTTTTACTCGCATCATGTGTTTAAATGGGTTGTCGTAATGCTTCAAATCATTGAAGCCGACATTATATTGTAACAACTCGAAAGAATAATACATTTAAGCTTTCGAGTTTTTACTAATAATATTGTTTAAGCTAAATCCAGTATATTATAGAGATCAATGATATGGAAGTCCATCCTTCGGTCGTCCGTCTACTTTTATGCAGTATAACTTAGTGCTACTCACAAAAGCTTGACTGCATTCATACAATGTTCTTGCATGTGATGCACAACATATGCACCATTTACAAATTTAAATATGAGCATTTTTGAAAGATATCTTCCGAAGGGGCCTACCAGCTCGATATTCGAGTGCGAATAAGGATTAATTGCCACAATGCTGCGAAAGTGTTAGATAGAAATTTAAGTTTTTAGTTTAAACTAAGTTTTAGATGAAGTAAGTTGTAGAGTAACAAATCTTTAGGAGACTTTTTCTTAGAGTATTTTTCCAAAATCAAATTTTGAAAATTTGGGGATGGGTCTAATCTTTAGCACGAAATCAGTAAGACAGGAAAACAAAAGTAAACAAATGTTGCATTCTCTAGAGTTCATTATCTAAGCATTAAGCGGTAAAGGATGATTGCACGATTAACGGTGATTGGTCAAATACGATAAATAACAGAAAAGATGATTGTCTGACTGTCTTGTCATTAAAAAAATACATAAAAAGTACATACGTCAGGGGGGGACGGAGGTCCATCTTCAAAAATTCGACTCAAAATCGGAATAAGGAATGCAGCAGTCTTTCCAGATCCTGCAAGATGAATAAATTTTCCTCAATTAAATTTCCTTGGCGAACAGAAAAGGGACACGGATATTGTACAAGATTTAGAAAACGGACGCATCCAATTTTAAAACAATTTTTTTTAAATTGGCAATGTCTAGCATAAACTTCTATCCTTTTAATGCATGTAATGCGTTTCCAACACATTCAATTCACTCTTACAACAGATTCACTTAAAAATAACAAAAATTCGCCAATGTATTCATGGCATGAACAACTCAAAAGAAAGTAGTTTAAAAAAGCTAACCTGTCTGAGCGCAGGCCATCAAGTCACGATATCCAGTGATGATCGGTATGGCATATTTTTGAACCGGTGTTGGCTTGGAATATTGACACAGCTGAATGTAAATGAAAAAAAAATACTGTCTACGCATCTACGTCACATCCCGTCTCAAATAATCGCAAGGTTTCCCTTTTTGACGAAATTCTGACCAAAAAATTGGATTTCGACGAAAAAACAGGAATCAAAGAAATCGGAGGAAATTTTCCAATATCTGAGTAATCTGAAGAATCTACGAAAATTTTTTTGTTGTACGTTGTGGAAACACTGAATAATCACGATAACAACTTCTTTTTGAGAATTTCGCGGATAGACTTACTTCAATATTGTGAGTTATAACTTCTCCCAGTTTGGAGCAATCAGAGAACTATATAAAAACGTAGAAAAAACATCAGCAAGAAAGTAAAAATAAAATTTAGTGTTTGGAAAAAATGGTAAGCAATTGACGAGGACGAACGTCCAACAACCTTCAATTTTTGAATTAGTGATGACACAAAACAAAACAACTATTTCGACATAAAATGTTGATAAGCTAGCAAAAAGAGAAAACCTATTTCTAAAACGCGGTGGTGATGACTAAGTAGTTGATGATTGTGTAGCAAACATGTTCGTGCAATATGAGTGGGATCCTAGTATACAAGAGGTAGCACTTTTTTCAGCAAATATAACCGGGTATGAATTAACAAGCTATACACAAAGCAAAATGCACAGGTGCAACGTCTTGCAAAATTTATATATTCTAACAACATTTTCAATATGATCTGGGCATTTATCTCCGGTCGCCTCCACGGGAATATCTTCGTATTTGTCAAAATTGATACCGGTGTTGCAGCCAGCATACAGTTCTCTGAAAGTTAAAATAAACATTTAGAAGAGAGATTAACACGCGTTTCAGTCGCATGTATACTATCACAGAGAGCAAATCGGCGTGCAAGATCGATCTTGCAAAATTGATTTCATGTGAATGTAGCACATTTCAGCTGTTTTTATTGAACACTTCATTTTCAAAAAATCTTCAAATTGCGCGCAAAAAAAGGAGAACAACAAATTTGTTACATATTAGTTCATGTGACAATAATCCACAATGTTGTTTTTGCTTGGTTGATTTTCCACGATTAGTTAATAAGTCACAAACTCCCAAACAAAGAACAGAGAGCGCAACTTGTAAAGAATGCTTGCAATTACGGCATTCCAGATTTTAGAAAAAAATCATGCAAGAATTCAAATTGTAAATACACGCAAGACAAAATAACACATTTCCAAACTTGGATGAAGTGAAGGAATTTAAAATGTTTTTAACTGAATTTTTTTCTATTTTGAAAAGATGTATCAATAAAATGTGTTCTTTTCTCCAGAGTAGTTATTAATTGCGTTCTTTCTTCACCACAAAAATGCTCAATTTAAACTCTACTTCCAGTTTTACAATTACCTTTACAATTACTTTAAAACAAAGCTTTACAACTGTTTTAATTTATGGTTTGAGAACAAATCCATCTATGGAAAATGGGAACAAGCAATTTCTTGACATGGTACATATAAGTGCTTCAAAAAACTAAACTTTCTATCATCACAAATGATCCATTTTTTACCAAACCAATGAGTGACAGTTGTTAGCATCCTAGGAAGCTGCGCTACGTAAATGAAGGTGTCTAAAGCTAACTGCAAACCATAGTCAAAAAAACTAATTCACACATAAGAAAAGCATAAAATTTAAATTTATCCGATAAAAAATTGCAATCTTTACTGACTAGAATTTCTTAGAAATTAGCAATTTCTTCGCGCATCAATAAAATTTCCACAATAGATTAAGATCTTGCCCCGCTATGCTTAACATGAACGAATTCAGTTTATGAGAACTAACATTTCAAAAATTCCAAAAATGATAATTATAAACCTCATTTTAACTTTCCTTTTCCCTTGGCAGACTTTTTCAAAACCGAATGAGTCACAGGTATTTTTCATACTGAATTTAGCTATTAAAAGATCTTTAAGTACCTTTCCAAGCGTTCATTGGGTGGTAATAGCTTGCCCCAATCTTCCGCAGAGGGCAACGACATCCAAGGATCTACAATGTTACAGTCAAAAACATATTTATATGCACGAGACGTGTATGTTTTTCTACATAGATACAATGAATGTTAAAAAGTGACGATACTTTGTTTCAAACGACGATGTTTCGTACTTTTGGGCGAAAAATGTCTCATGAAGATTACGTAGCTCACTGCTAGGTTTTATAATACTACATGATTTTTACCAGATGCTTGTTCGACATTAGAAAAGCCGATTGGCCAATGATGTTTATATGAGCGTCTGATTATTTGATAAAAGCAGCATTATTTCATCGTTAAGACTTACACCACGCCAGAGTGAAAACAATGAAGCCTACGTTTTCCCTATCCGCTAGAACTATGGTACGGTCTCAATAGTGCTTACATTTCGTTTACATCAGCAACAATAATGCCTCGTTAACACACGTAATTTTCCACAAATTTACCCCATTCTTGTTATTTACGAGTTTTTCGAAAAGCAAGCAAAGGATTCTAGTGAACCCGACTTTTTTGAAAATTAGCCCTAAAATGCAAACCTCAAAAACAGAACCACCATATGGCGTAGTGTGTACGTCCCACAATCTAAAAGCTCACTCACCCTCACAATCACTGAGCAGGGCTTCAAAATCAGCTCACAGTTATGTGCTCGAAGAGAACAATTTCATAGCCATGATTGTATGATTCTAGCGAAAATCTTGCCATCGATGAAAAAACGACTTTGTCATTGATTAGAGAGAGGGCAATTTTCATGTCGCACTCAATGATTGTGAGTGAGCTTTTAGAATACGAGAATAAATGGATACTATTATAACATTTTATACCTTTGGGAGAGTCGTAATTTCTGTCCCTATAACCACTACCACGTTTTCCATAACCACCGCCATAGTTATTTCTATTATTGCCACCAAAGTTATTGTATTGATTATATCCATAACTTCCCCCACCGTAACTGTTGCCATAACTATTGCTACGGGAATAACCTATAACATAAAATAAGACACTGATTAAACGAACTTTTAGCTTACGACCACTAACTTCCTCGGGGCATTCAAGTAATGGATCGAGGCATCGGTAGTCAGGGAATTCGGCAAAGAGAATACAGCAATTATTCGCTACTTTGACTTCGAACGATTTGTGTAGTAAACATAGTCATTTCGCAGGAGTTATGATACCGTGATTCTTGACTGACTTTTGGAGTGAATGAAACACTCGAAAGTTCAACTTTGTCTGTATCGATTGGTCCATTCATAACAATTGTGCAATCTAGTTGGTCTAAGTTTCAATCCAGTGACAGCTTGCATTTTCGGTCATTGTATAGTCCAAAGAATTTGCATGACTTTTGGCTGCTTTTGCAGCGAGATTGTGCGGGAATTTATGCCGGCAGAATTAAGTTTTTCAAAGCATTTTACTCAACAATGCGTCGGAGTTACATATATTGTCGAGAACTCCATAAAGTCAGCGCATTTATATTGTTAATATAAGCTTCGTTTATTTAGAAATTGTGAAGCGATATTACCAAAGTTTGTGTTGATTCACACCATACCTACGTACGTAACTGTTTTGTTAATTTATGTCGCGTATTGGTCAAGTTTTAAGTTTAAGTGGCTGAACCTAAATAGCTAAAGTTCACGATTTTTGTAGGCTATATTTGAGTTGGGTAATAGAATAATAAAAGAAAAATAAAGCATGAAGAATAACTTTCAAAAACGTCCTTACACTCCCTTCCTGAGATGGTACCTAGTGTAAATTTCTTTGTCATACGTACCTCTTCCACCACTTCTTCCTCCGTAATAGCTGTCTCTGCTAAAAAATTCAGCTGAACGTTGTTGTGTGCCTCCACCTCCTCCACGAAGATGAGGAGGGATGTAAGCTACATAAAAAAGAACAATATTTTTCACAAGCTGACACGTCACCTTATTAGATACTGCACAGAAAAGCAAGGTTGAGATTTTTTTGTGAAATAAAATATAATAACTTCAACAGTCCTCACCACAAAATAACTTAAAGGGTGGTGTTTCGACGTTCATCACCATGAATGACAATCAAATACATACATTTTGTCCGGGTGATACTTAATGCAAACTATTACTCAGCTTAACTAACATGCCATTGTAAGACATGCAAATGGATATATACAAAATATACTAAAAAGTATATAAGCTAAAAACTGTTTAGATTTAATGCAATGTTTCCTTAATGACTGAAATCAAATACACTTGATAATGCAATTAAATAAAAAAAAGTCATTTATTTTACATTATCAACCTTTATAGTTAAACTAAATTCCAAACCATTTTCATCAAGGCAAATAAAAATTCTCCCACCATACAGTTATAGTTTAAAGTAAGAAATTTTTCATAATAAAGACAATTGGCAAACTTTTCATAATTTCGAAAATCCGACAAGGAAACCTTTCCATGATAATTTTGTGCTAAGTCGTAGATAATATTACCATAATTTCTAATTAGCAGCAATTTTTAGCGTTGTCATTGGAACAATAATCATAATTTTATTTGGTTTTTGAATTTTCATCTTTGTATAAGAAATCATCAGACAAAGCTGAGCAAAACTTATATATTACGAACATAAATACAGAGATTAAATTACAGTGACAAATTGGACCAAGAGTACTTACACTGTGAGAAACGATACGTACAATACAGATGTAAACAATGGTGGATATGATCACAAAGAGTAGTGGGGTGCTTAAAATAACTCAAGTGGGATGGAAGCGCTTTGGACAATCACTGTGAGTGCGAGTTAAGAGATTGGTAGACTTTCAAGATTTATTAAGCTATGTAAGCTGATAAATTAATATGAAATAAGATGGTAGATATGGCAGGGCGTGATGACTGTTTTCATGTCAAAGACAACACTCTCAAGTGTTCAGAGACATTGATATGAAGATGGCAAGTGGGTAGACCAACAAATGTATGACATGGTACAGCATCGACACTTGAAGTGATAAACAAGAAATTTCATAATGGACTTCTAAGGCCATGCACCTCAACAAATTTACATTCTTTAAATTGGCAGGTTTTAAATGTTAATAAACATCATTGCGATTCCCAACAACCTCAAATCAAACCAGAGGAATGAAAAAACTAAGCATAAGAAGGCAACTTTTGACAATAATGTTAGCACATTAAATTGAATAGGACCTAATTTATAATTATGACATGTTTAGAAATCCCACATCAGATGTTTAGTTTTCATGGTTATAGTTGATTATTTTATATAAACTTTTTATTTTGAAATTGCTATAAAAGCTTGGGTAGTCCAGGAGGACTACAGGGACGTGCTGGACAAGACTCTACCACATTCTCCATATTTTGTCGAATATGACAGACATAAATTCTTCATTTTTATCAAAAGAAAAGCTATGAAGTATAACAATAAACTCTTACGAAAAGAGTAGTGTTCAGGAAGGCATAATTTAAGTTTTTAACAAGTAAATAGTTATGTCACAACCATACGAGTGAAAACTAAAGATTCGGTATAAGCTTAATAATTATTGCTCAAAAAGTTGAGAAACTATTTTAGTTATTCAATACGCACATGAACATGCTGACCATTTATGAAACATGAGTGTGAAAGAACAGCTTTGATTCTTTTTTAATAAGGATAGTGGTTGGGTAATATTGCACTATAGTGCAAACATGAGAAAACTGGCTCTGCATGTTTTTCAAAATAAACAGCAGTTTGTAAAACCACAGTCAACAGCAAGCAATGGTTTTCCAAAGAATTCAATATGGCATATCATATATATGTGAATAATAGCTCCCCAATTATCAATTGCCCAAATATCCTTATCAACTTCCTTGATTTAAAATTGGAATGGTAACTCTCCTACAACATATCTTAGAATCCTATATTAGCTTAACCTATTTTTTAAATTGTTTGAGTTTCTACAATTTCTTTCAAGATTCCAAAATGGTGAAAATGTTGTAGAATAAGTCAATAAGACATATACTTTGCCACAATAGCTACATACTTTATATCATAATCAGCCAAGACACTTGTAATTAATTAAACTACGCAAATTAGTAGGCTTCATATACTGCAGGGTTTACTACATTTACTAGCATTGCATAATCAGCCTAGAACACCAATGGAATTGCCAGATCAAAGTCCCTATCAATATTTCATGCCACAAAGCAATATGAGAAATAAAAAGGTTATTATTTCTATAGCTAATTACGTATGTAGTGGGTAATAGTAAAACAGCACGTCACGCATGCTTTAAAGACTATTTTTCAGTAACAAAAACCTAAAAGTGCAGATTTATTATAAATAGAGTAAACCATAACTTACTGCTTTGTGAAGTCCTTTGAGTGCCAGCGTTCCGACTTTGCAAATCACCGGCTTTCAAGTCTAGGCCAGCAAACTAAGAAAAACACGAACGTATATGTATAATACTTTTTTAAACAGTATTATCTGTTAAAAAGGGCATCGTCAAGTAAAACACAAATGTACATGCCCAGGCAATGAACGCGCGCTAACAGGATTATTTTTGGCAATGGCAAAGCAAGTTTGATATTTACAATCAACAGAAAATTCCCGATAAAAAGTCCGCTTAAAGAAAGACTATATTACTAACATACTTGCCGATCTAGACTTCGATTATTTTCTGGGGCTCCATAACTCATAACTGAAATGATATTTGATTTTAAATAAGTAGGATTTCTTCTGGTGGCGTTTGCTAAGTAAAAGTGAAAACTGTTTTATTGTCTAAGTGAGCCTTCAGGCAGCAATCCATCGGTCACAGTGAAAAATGGAGTACTTCAAGTAGGCAATCGTGGAATTCTGGAGCCGGTTGCACGAAGCCTGGATAGCGCTATCCATTCGATAGCGAAAATTTTCAAACGTGTAAAAAAGGTGTTTATATTTTTCTTATGACAAACAAATTTTGTAATCTTCGAAAAAATATTTTATATCCATGATTTCACATATCAAATCGTATATATTTCTCCTCCAAGAGATTTTGTGAACGTTCAGAAAAATTTGCTATCCAGAGGGTAACACTATCCAGAGGATAACTCTATCCCCTGATGTCTTCGAAGAAAGTCAATTTTGTTCAAGACTGTTCAAATTGGAAGTCCTAAAATTATCGACGTTTCAACAGTAAATTTAAAATAAACATGTTTCAAAATCTCATAATGCCATCTTCAAAATTTAAGAAAGGTATTATGTATGTGATATGTGAAGTGCTTCTTTGATTTTGAGGGCGAATGTAGTATCTGCAGTGTCGATGATTTTGAAGCAAGAGCACAGTATAGTGAATATACAGTAGAGACACTCTATTGAATTTTTTCGTGCCACACGTATCTTATTACGCATGTAATTACCAAAGTAGAAGCCAGTCAATCACTTTTTTTTGAACAATAGGAATGAAGAAATGGCTAACGGCAGCCAGTAGTCTAATTAAATATACAGCAGCCAATTGCACATGTAGTGGACCTACTGTATACTCCTATACTGTGGCAAGAGGGTGAATAGTAAGTCTTACATGAAGGTGATTTTAAAAGGTCTCGATAGATATGTGAGTTTTTGTCAGTTGTGGCTTGTTCCCTGATTCTGGTGGACAAGTCTGTCTGTGAGTGTGCGTATTAATCAAGTTTTGTATGAAAAAAACGCACACTCATAGACAGAGCATACAAAATTAACAACGCCGACAATGGCTTTCAACAAGACCTAAAGAACATCACATCTATTTTATTACGCAACTCTCTCCCACTACACTTCATTAACAAAACTGTTAAACGATATCTCCAAGACAAAAAAAATGCTAACTGCAAAGCAACACTAAAACGTCTGATATAACAACCGATACCAACAACAACGAGCAGCCCATAAAAACTCTTTACTTTAAACCAGGCTCGTAACCAGAGGGTGCAACCTCCCCCCATAACTAAAAAATGTCCGCTTTTCTAAGCTAGCTCGCTTTACAGAAATAAAAGAACAATGAACAATCTAAATTGCCTTTTACATTTTTGAAAATGAAAACGATCATATCTTTATGTTTTAGAACCTGTTAGTTTCCCGGTAGCTTCAAATAAAAAGTGCACTAGTACTAGAGCATGCGCTAAAATAAACACAATCATGCGGCCATGTTGATGCCATTATTTCATAGCGAGCATAAGTTATATCGAGCATGTAATTTATCATGGGACGTCGTGAGGAAAGAGAACGCAAAAAAAGAAAGGTAGCCAAATCATGCAAAAGTATTCATGGTTTCTTTCACCCAAAGCAACAGAAAGATGGTCAGTAACTCAGTAACTGTATTTGCATTACTGCATATAAAAATTTTTTTCGAGTGTTAATCATTTAAACTAATTTAAATGTCAGATACTGAGGAAAATTTACCCGAGAAAAATTTGCCCTCAATCAAAATCTGCCAAGAAACTCATACCAGCTCCCAAGCACATCTTATTAGTGAGATACAAGAAAAAAGTAAAGATATCTATTATCCTCAAAGTAGGTTGAAGAATTTCTCATGCTGATGGTTATATAGTTTAATTTACTATGCCTAATAGTTCATTTTTAACATCTGTCACTTACTACATGTCATTATATAATTATGTTTTAAATTGTAGGGATGGCATGTTCTGATATTGGTAGAATAGCCAATGGATCAAAAGAGGATATCCAAAAAGCAATAGATAATCTCACTTCGGGCGAGAAGTACAATTTTCTTAGAACTGCCACCTGAGGGTTATAATTTCACTATTTCAACTTGAGCTTTTATATTTTAATAAACCACCAATGGCTCCGCTACAGCATACATTTGGATGGTCTTTTTTGCATATTTTGTACTTTGTTTTCGTAAGGACAAAACAAATGAAGGAAGTTTTGTTGTAAAATTATTTTCAAATTGGCATAGACAGCATGAAAAATGCAGAGATCATGAAAATCTTGCTTACCATAATCATGCACGAAATATGGGGGATGAAATGATCAGGGGCGGATCTAGAGTATGTCAAATCCGTCGCGCGACTGATGTTTGAAATTCAAAAATTACCTATTCATATTAATTAAAAATTCATTAATTATTCTTACTTTCTTATCGCATTTACTTTGTGATAAAAATACCGCATTATTTATTATCGAAAACTAATGACTAATCCAATGAATATCTCGTTGGTAACCAGATCAGTTGAATTTTAATTGACCTGAAATAACCGACTGATAAGCGGGGTGGCTTGACTGGTTCGACGGATAAAGGAGTCTATGAACGTCAAAAACGCTTATTTTATTGGTCAATAGCCAGATCAGTGGACACTCTGGAATGGTCTCGACTGATAATAAGGGTGGCCGGACGTATAAGGGAGTCCAATTGCTATCTTACAATTGGTTCATTTGAATTTTTGCTTTATTGTGATTGGTTTGACGGATTTCGACTGATAGCCAACTGAACTAACATAGTCAAGCTCACTGTCTGAATTGAATGTTTGATCGTTTCATAGTAATTTTTATAAGCATGATAGAAACTAAACTACAATCCGACGGAATTTATGGAAATCTTTTACAAATTCATATATTGACATGAATGCTGCTGTCCAAACTGCGAATTTTTTCAAGAGAGTGAAAAATTTATGGATAAATTTTAAATGCTTGGCAAAGACGATCTCGCGAGCGACATTTCAGTCATTGATTTTCAAAAGAAAGCCAACATTGTTTTGAGTTTTATCAGCAGAAATTTACATCCAAAATTGTAAGTAAAGGACAAGTGAAGTGTATGCATGAATGTAATATATCAAAATCAATTATGCGAGTGTGTGATGCGATTTATGTCAATATGGCGTAAGGTAAGCAGATCGATGCTTCTAAAATTGTTGTTGACGAAGGACTTTTAGCTATGATTTCTTTAGTGCTTGGGGAATCATGGCCGTTATACGGCAGCGAAATCCTACATTCCTGCAAATATATTTCAATGGACAAAAAATCTGTGGCCATAAGGCGCCATACTATTATTTACTTTATCATAAACAAATGTTTGGGGCTTTTCAGTTTATGATCATTGGTCATTCAATCATTGGACAGTTATACTACATATTGTTTAAGATTTGAGAAAACTGACATTGATTACACGAGAAGCTGTTTACTATAACCTGTGATTTTGAGTCTTCTGATCCATGAAGCTTTTTATTTTGACAATTTAACTGAAATGGTATTACACATACATGAAATGTTGTCCCATGTCACATATTGTCCCCTTTTCTAACTGAACACCTCACGTAGAGATGTAAAGGTGTGTTAATCTATGGCTCATACCAGATTGTTTGCCATAAATTCCAAAGGGCTGTTGATGTATGAAAAGCATTTTCTATAAAGTAAAAATGTCAAGATTTCTATGTATGCAGATAAACCTTGAAATTTGGCAAAACAGCAAAGTATTTTTCATGATCAGTAGGTAATTTTTCTGATGATCATTATAATTTCCAAACTAAATTATTTCAGATTTACATTTAAACGAGCTTTGATCATATGAAAAGATATTTATCATAACCAGTAAGCATGACCCATGAACCAATTTTAACATTTATGTAATTATATAATTAAAGACATGTTGGTTACATTCTGTTTGTATTTGCAAATACAATGCTACTAGTGATTGCTATATAGCGCACCTTGCATATACTTACAGGAGATAATAGTCTAGTGAAATGCCTAATAAACATTTATGGCATTAAGCTGTCCTTAACTGCAAATTTTCACTCTGATAATTTTTGCTTAACCTTTGGCAGAAAAAAATTTTGAGTTTTTTCTCAAAAGGTGAATTTGCTGGCACTGATGTGGAGATGGGTAAAGGGTTACCATAAACGTGCATGGTTTGAAGTCTGAGCTTTTCATATCTATGAACTGTCACTTGTAGTACCAAATTTCTTACTTAACTAAACTCATTACATAGAGGTTTGAATGGGGGTCTCTAGGGTGGTCTATTCCTGACAACTTGGTAGAAATTTTTAAAGACTATATCTGTTTTTGAATAGCATTATTGTAAAATAAATTTTACGTTCCTAGACATGCTAATGGCCATATATTTGGCATGATAATGAGCCTAAATATTTGGCAAAACATTCAAGTATTGTTCATTTCATTTTTTTTTTTTGAAAAAAACGTAAGCAAAATGTGTTTTTTTTTACGCAAAAACGATGCCCACAAATACATTTTGTATTGCTCTAAAACGCTGAAAATGGCATTTTCAAGGCTCTGAAATTCAAAATTTCTCAGGGGAGAATGCCTCAGACCCCCCCAGGTGCGGAGCGCCTTCGGCGTTTTATGACTGATGTTTGAAAAATCCTAGATCCGCCCCTGGAAATGATTTACGGTCATAAACACTCTGAAGCAACTGTGCCTTTCTGTTGGACAAAAAGAAGGATGAGAACATCAAACGAAGTAGACATATCCTGAAGAGTGTGTTTGAAGCGATGTTATACTGTGTGAAACAATGCATAGCTCTTCGAACATCAAATGAAGACATTACATGCCCTGATAATCACAGAAACTTTCTAGAACTTTTAAAACTATTGGCAAAATATGACGATGTATTAAAAATGCAACTCTTCTTTCCTCAAATGAAGAATGCTAAATACACATCCCTTTTAGTTCAAAATAAAATGATAGACATTTTGGCAAACGATATTGTTCGTAAAAACATAATTGATGAGATTAAAGAGGCACAATTTTTTGTCATAAGTGCAGAGAAGTTACAAGCCACAATGTCGAGCAAGTTTCATTGTGTATTTGTTATGTTGAGAAAAGTACAGAAGACATCGTTGAAGCATTTATTTCTTTTGTGAGGCTAGAAAGAATAACTGGAGAGAGAATCGCGTCAGAAATTAAGAAAGCGCTTGTAGATCTTGGTCTTTAACTACAAAGCCTAAGTGGTCACTGGTCAGGGCTATGATGGGACTAGCAACATGTCTTCGTCTAATGTTACAGTTCAAGCAGTTATCAAGAGAGATAAACCTTTGGCAACTTACGTCCACTGCAGTGGTCATTCACTGAATTTAGTGTTAAGTCATTCGTCGCCTGTACGCAATGTCCTCGATTTAATGAAAAACTGTTGCCATTCCTCGCGAATTTAAAAAGGTTTTTCATCGAAAAGCATTTTTGCTATAATTGTGTTTCGAAAAAGTTTTCTGACGTGTCTAACATATCGTTCAGAGAACGTTCTCATAAACAATAAATCAACACAGCACGCTTATGACTTGTATTAGATTACATTTGAAAGGAAACGCTTTGCGTTGAGCATTGTAAATACAATGTAAATCGCAAGACCTTTGTATTTTTTTTCATAGTTTGACACGTATCATATTTCACTTTATGTAAAATAACTAAATTTGTAAATCCATAAAAATAGTATTTGTATTTTGTACAATATTCGAAAGCAAAATAAATTCATTTGCTTTGAGCGTTTGACTTCACCAACTGTGTACTGTGAGTCTGTATGAGTAAAGCGAACAATGTAGAAGCAATGTAAATAATACCGAATTGGACTATATACCAGACAATACATTCTAGTAAGTACAAGTTGCTAATACCGGTCGCTGGAACGAGATATAATTGATATTTGTGATCGCTTGCTAGCCTGCCATATTTTACGCCAGACACGCGAGATTTTACCCCAGACACGCGTGTTTAATGTTTCGAGATTCTCTCGTGGAGTAATAATAGATTGACTACACACGCGCGTCTGGGGTAAAATCACGGCTTCAAAAAATTATTAGGGTTTTGTATTGCAGGTGGCGTTCCATGTATTTTACTTAAATGTGTCTAACTGCCGTTGTCACGGTGAGGCAAAATTATTTACGGGCGCCTTCTTGAAAGGTGGCAAAAAGGCGATACCCTTAATAAAATCTAATTAAAATGTCAGTTTTAAATAAAGAATTCTGTCAAAATTTTGGAAGCAAACCTAAACTATCACCTCCACCACTTATGTATCAACGTAGGAGAAGCATGTTTTAGACCCAAGTCTTGTCAGTTTTAATAAATCGTGGTTAAATCGTGCGGAACTTAACTTTTCGAAGGATAGCAACGCATCTTTTCATAAATTTTTCCTTGAACATTAAAGCTTGGTAAGAAATTGATCATTACCACTAAAGAATTTTTTGTTAACAAACTTTTAAAGAGGCACATTATTATGCATAGGCCTAAGATGAATGTAAAAATTGCAGAACAAACATTTAGCAGCTACAGCTATGTTACAGATGCCATCAACAGGGGCGTAACTGTTGGGGGTGTGTGGGGGGGTGATATCCTCCCAATTGCTGAAAACAGTGTTTTTGCAGGGCATATTGCCGTCAAGTGGCAGGGCAGTGTTCAGGAAGTAGAAAAATTGCCATACCATCGAAAACAACTAAATGATTACTAAGTGGAAATAACAAACCTTCATTTTTGACAATGTTGGCTTAATTCTACAGTGCAATGTGTCTGTGAGATGTGTAAGATGAAGTAATTGATTCCGCTGGATACAATGATTGCAAATGTTAAAAAAATGCTTATGCTAATTTTTGCATTGTCGAATGCTGTGAAGCGAGCTTCAATCCAATAATTTCATCAAATTCTATGCGGTTTTGTATATTTGGGCAAGAAAGACTACTTTTCAATGGAAGGTCAGTTATATTTCCCGAAGTTTGTAGGCCCACAATTACCGAAGGAGAGTTGTGAGTTCATAGTATGCTGTCATAATTTTGATGTTTACTCAGATACATTTCTAATTTAATTGAAATTTCTCAAGAGGGAGGCGCAACTAGAATTAAAGATGATAACGTTCAGGAGCCCCGCGCAAAAAAACCAAAACCTCAAAGCACGCGAATTTATAAACGAAAGTTTAAATGTAAAGATTGTGGTTCAGAAATGAATGCTGATAATTTTTTGAAGCACAACTCAAATAAACACAATGGCATGTCAAAATCCCAAGATGTTGTAGAAGCATCACAAACAACGCTTCATTTTTCTAAGTTTAGTAAAATGTCACTTACTTATATCTGTACATAGTAAATAGAATGAAAATCTTTAGCATGCCTTATAGATCTCTTAGAACATTGCTCGTTAGTTCTGTACAAGTGCCGTTCAATTGATGTGAAATAATTGATAATTCGTGTTGCACAAAACTTTGTTATTCTGCTCTGTTGCAACAGCAATTATTTCTGTTATTGTGAAGGCCACTCATACCATAAAGTTTCAATGTATTCTTATTTATTTTAGATACTTTCAACTGCCCCTGTTACAGTATATATATATATACCTAATTTTAAAGAAGTTAACACGCTGTAAGTTGGCTACAGTACGGCCAGAGGCGTAGCCAGTGTATTTTCCGCCAGGGGGCAAATTGTAAAATTGGCGCCCCCTCCTGCGTGTTTAATCGTATTTTCTTTTACAATAACATTGTATACCTTACTGTATACGGAAAAACAGTTCACATTTCAATGGACCATTATTTTTAAAGAAGAAGCAATATTATACAATTTATTGCATATGACTCACTCAGTCATTGTCAAAGATAATTCATATAGTCTACAATAGATTTATTTTTCTTGATTTCACTGTCGCAAACTGGTCAATCACGTTATCGAAATTTGTTGTTTCCAATGTTTCTCTTTCAACGCTAAGAAGAGCAACATCACTGAGACGATCCTGTCCCATTGATGCACGCAGATACGACAAAATCAGTTTCAATTTGCTGAACGACCGCTTACAACTTGCAATTGAAACTGCTATTGTTAACAAAATTTGTAGTGAAATTAGCAAATTCAGAAATACGTTATCTCCATAAAACACAGTAAAACCAAGAAGATCCAAGGGAGTTTCTGGTAGAGCTTCAGTTCGGTTACGGAGCAGCATTCTGCAATCACCAATTTCGATGAAAAGTTTGTAGCCATTGTTGTCCGTGTTGTAGAAATTTGGAAAATCTGCACAATTTCGACGAATTGCATCCTCATCTGTGCCAGAGTCTTAACGTCCAGCAAAAATCTAAATTTATTGTTCATGTCTTTTAGTCGTAAAAAACGTTTTGACATCTCATGTTGAAGCCGATCAAATGCATTCTTCATAACGCGCACAATTTCTTCTTCTGATGAAAGTCCTGCATCTCTTGCCAGTTCTCCCAGGCATTCTCTTAACACGCTTGATTCTTCTGTCCACTTCAATCCCTCAGGTCGAGCATTTTCCTTTGGCGTTTTCTATAGCAGCTTGGCTCAAACCATTACCAAGCGTGGCAAATTCTTGCTCCAAAGATTCAATATCAATTGCAGCTTCCTTGAAATTCATTGTAGGATCCTACGTACCCGATCAATTTTCCCAAGAACTGCATTCCAGAATTGTAATAAAACTATGAAATTAAAATTCAATACGCGGCATGTAACTGCTGTGCACCACTTCTAGTTTCAGGGGTCATAGTAGAGTCCTCCCATAATTTTTTCTAGCAATCTTACTAGTTCATCCAGTCCTTCATCGATAGCTTTAACAGCTTGTGATCGTGCACTCCAGCGTGTCTCAGATTCTCGTTTTACTGTTATCGGAAGAGCTCTTTTTAACTCTTCCCAACGAATTGTTGAATGAGAGAAGAATGAATATATACTTTCAAGTGTCGCAAAAACGTGACGACAACTGGATCTTGCTTAGCTGAGTGTATTCCTGCTAAGTTTAAGCTGTGGTTATCACAGTTCACAAACAGTGCTCTGTGATTTCTGTCATATATTCGTTGTTGAAGGCCAGATATATGCCCAGACATCACAGCTGCATTGTCGTAACATTGTGCTCGACAGTCGGCTAGAGGTATCTCATCAGATTTCAATCTCTCGACCACGACTTTCTCTAGGCTTGCTGCATCTCTTGAATGTATCTCGATATAACCTAAAAATGACTCTTTTATAGTTACTTTTTTAGTTTGAAAATCCACATCCACAAATCTTATGACCTGAGAAAGTTTCTCACGATGTCCTAAATCAGGAGTTGTGTCAAGTAAGATTGCGTAGTATTTGTTATTCCTGAAATCACTTAACATTTTGCTCTTTACAGCTGATGCAAGTATATGAATAAATTCATTCTGAATTTCGGATGACAAATAGAAAACTGATCGTGTTGGACGTGTTTTGCAAATAGTGGGTCATACTAAGCAACGAGTTTGATCAGCGCGAGAAAGTTTCCAATATTTTTATTATTTTGGGCATTCAAGCTTTCCTCATGACCACGTAGTGCCAAATTTTGTGAAACCAGAAATTTAATACAGCTAAGTATTCTTTGTAATACACCCCGCCAGCGTTGTTTTTCTAAATGAATCTGCGCTTGAACGACTGCTTCAATTCCTGTACCACCAACTAGCCGTCGTTCAGCTTCCTTCCATTTAGTAAAAGCCATGCGATGACTAGGATTGTTTTCAAGACATTTTAGTTTTTCTGGCTTTCTCCACTTGTTGAAACCGTTGCTTAACCCAATTGCAGCTCGCGAATTTGAAGTCCATGATGTAAATAATAGACAACAGAAACAGTAGGCAGCTTTATTGATTGGTGAATATAACAGCCATGACCGATTTACTTCCTCTCCATTCACCAGTTGACGTTTAAACGATGCCGATGTAATCAAACGTTCTCCGTATACTGAGGATAGATTGTCTGTATGCTGAAAACTTAAGGATCCGAGAGTAATTATTTCATTGCGAAGAATTTGTGATGCTCGCGGAAGCTTTGTCATTTCGTCAAATTCTACGTAACCAACATCATGAAACTTTAGTACAGCAGGAACCACATCATATTGAGTATTTGTATTTGCAACTTCTCTATTACAAACTTCTTCTGCCTCATCTTCCCCGTTACTATCAACAAGCTTGTCATTATGTTGGACCTCTTGGTCTTCAGTATTTTCGGTGTTTTTTCCAGTGTCTATAGTAATATCTGTTTGAATCGTTTTTTTCTCCAAGTCATCAATGTTTTCATCATTAGCATCGACATGCTCTGAAACAGGTGGTTGATAACCGCAGTCTTCGTCTTGTGTGAACCTAAGATCAGAAGTTAGTTAACAAAAAAAATATGTTGATGTTACTTTGAAATTTATTCGCTTACAATACCTTTTTTATCCACATTCTAGGCTATATCATATCATGTTCACATTTTGGGAATACATCACTTTGTCCCTCATGGATGTCACATATATGGTTGAGAACTGACAACCACTTCGCTTTGACAAGTTCTTCATCACCATTGCTGGAAGCAGCACACCAGTATACATGGTTGGAAATTGATTGGGCCCAATCTGACAATAATTTGCAACCACTTTTTTCTGATGCTGCCAAAATTTTCTTTTTGATTCCTGGTGGATTTTTATTATTGATGAAATGTGTAAAAGGTTGGTTTGTTATGACAATCTATACCTTTTGCTACATACCATATGTTTTATGTACAGTTGTTGAAGAATTGTTACCAAACAAGTTGTGTGTCTAAAATGTTGTTAGATTCCAAATCCATGCAGCTATATGACCGATACTTGGCACAATATCCAGGCGAATCACATCTTCTATCTCCTCCAAGGTTAATGTTCCTTTCTCTGATTGATTCTAGAAGATGCTTTTGGTTCATATGCCAAACATTTGAAACACTAGGTATCAAATACGCTGTTTGAATATAGCTATATGTTCGCTCTGACAGAAATTGTATGCCTGAGTGACTAAGGAATTGATGAACTTTGCTGGGGCTACTACCACTAAACAAAATGCTGGCAGCAAAGATCAAGTTGCCCAAAGGCATTCGCCCATGCAGAGGTTGGCTATTCCAGTATCGAACATAACCACAATGACATTTTGCACAATGACATTTTGTTGGCTTCCAATTTTTGCGTCGGATTTTTTCAATCCAAATATCTTGCATGCGCTTGTTTTCGGGAAACGAAAAAAAAAGAAACCTTTTACTGCGTTTGGTGGTTCTTAGAAGAACCGTTTTTAAAATTAAATGCGGCACTCTACATGTTGAACCTGTCTTTCAGTCTGGCATTCAGCATGGTTGATATTAGACTCTATTGAAGCAAAACCATGAATAAGTACAAAGTTTTTCAAAAAGCAAATATAAAAATACTTTTACCTTGTTGTAAATATAAGTTATTTTCTCCTGGGTGTTCATGTTCTTGATGGACGTTAGACTCCAGTCGAGCCAGCTTTTGTAAATCAAGGAGGGCAACGGCTGCTTCGGAATGGCGTCGTTTAAGGTCTCGCTTTTTGGTCCGATCGTTTCTTTTAATGGCACTTTCACGAATAGGTTTTAATTTCTGGTGACCCAATTTAAGTGTAGGAGCTCAATCAACGTCGTGTTCGTCGTAGACATTGCTTGGACGACCTTGGAAACAAAAAAATTGTAAAAAATGTAAACAATTATATTCATAGAGTCTATAGACATTTTGCAAGGCGCTTCAGTTAAAACTCTTTCGCAATTGCTTTTAATATTGAATCACAAAGTTCGTCAACGCACCTTTAACAAATGTTCACCACATACGCGAGCATGGGGGCTTTCGATACCTTTCGGAGACAATGAAAGGTTTCTGAGCCACTTTTCACGACGTATTTTTGTTAGATTTTTAATGTTTCCCCTTCATGGAGAAGTTCTTTCGGTATCCTGTAATAGCCTTTATCCTTTTCTCGATTAGCTCGATTAGAGCAAGTAAAAACTGAACAGCAATCCGGCATATTTGAATAAATATATGATTTTTACCTGCCCTTCAGCTGGAAATATAAATACGTAATGACAGTGGAAATACGGGAAGTGACGTCTTTGCAAACAAAGAATTGATAACTGGGGAGGGGGCTATATTCATGTATTCATAAGTTATCATCCGTAAACACAATTGATTTCAATAGAAGAGTAAATCATGTATATATGAATAATACCACCCACCCCACAAACATCAATGTTCCGCCGCCCTTGTGAATATGCCTTTTTCATCGACAAACTTTAACAAAACATAAAATTTAGCTAAAATACTGAATAAATATGGTTTCCGTTGAGCTGGTTCTACCCCAGGTGTTTGTTTCGCTGCCAAGCTTTTCAATTTTCATGAATAAAAAAGAAACTGAGAGATTCCATTTCGCTAAACGTTTAAATTCCGCTTCAAATACAAAGGTTAAAGACCTAGTCCTTGCACAATGTTTTAATGTCGGACTAATGGAGTATGAGCAAGGAAAACGAACAAATTTCCAGAAAAAGTTGAAAGCAGCATTTAATTTGAACGAGGGGTAAATCACTCGAAAAATCTTTGTACACTTCGTGAAAAAAAGGCTTTTAATACAGAAGAACATTGCAAAGTTGACAACTTATAAAACACAAGAGAAGAGAGCAGGCATATGTGACGTCATTCATGTCACGTGTCCAAAGATTTGAATATCTCAACTAATTAATTCCTTGTTCTACGACACATCTATGTGTTTAATTTGATTACGAAACTTATGACTTCTGGTGAGCATTATCGTTCCTTGGTCGTCTTTATGTAAATTTTTGGTGTGCAAGCTACGTCATGGCCGCCATGTTGGATTGTTTTAACAAAGGGATGTCCTTATCTACAATGCAAATAAAATCCAACATGGCGAACATTCCATTGTTCTTCCACTCCCAGGGGAATTGTTCCACACCACCTATTATTAGGACAATCATGTTTCTTCAAAACATGGCCAGGAAGGCTGCGTTTACATTATAACGGATTTGCTGATCACGACATCTTCATTTGCTTTAAAGGGGTAACTGTTCGGAGTAAAAGCTTACTAAGCTGATAGATTTGTCTATTTGATTGTGTTTCTGACGTTGAACAATTTTACTGCCTTTAATATAAAGAATATTCAACCTGCTGCGATACCAATCCGGTAAAGTGTAAACGGGACCGAAGTCTTTGTTGCCAAACTACTTCTTGACTAGCTGTGCTCAAGACAGTTATTCTTTTTCAGTGGTTAATCTTAATCTAGCTACGCATGTTTCTCGTTGATTACTCCAACTCGTAGTATTTCCTTAAATTTTCATTACATAAAAAAGTTATTGAAAGACAAGTTGGTAAGTCCCTGCGTAATCTGCTTCAGAGTAATCTGTTAAAACTGTGCTCGAATTGTTATTAGAATATATAAGACCATACTCTAATGTTCCTTGAAGATAATGCAATACTCCTTTCACTCCATTCCAATACTCGATTCTGGGATTCGACATTAACTTTTATGAAATAACCTTTTAAAAATAAGGGCGCAGGTTGGTCGAATGCTCGAAAAAACAGTATTTCTCTTATTACGATATCTATAAACAACTGAATTCCAAAGGTAGCCATCGCTGTCTGTTCGTAAATAAGAAAACATTACAGAAAATTTGTTTTCCCCCATTTAATGCTCTAAATTTGCTGGCTTTTGCAACAAAAATGGTGGATGCTAGATAATTTTATTTCCGGTGTCTAAACTGTATCGTATGTAGGTCGCTGGGTCAATGCTCCTTAGTTCAATTGTTGCATGCGAACGAGAAACCGTTTTACATCTATGTTCCACTTTCATCAATGAAAATTTGTTTTGCAATCACAGAATACGAAAGCATGGACGAATACAAAAAAAGTTATAAAACGTCGTTTCGTACATCTTTACAAATGAACTGCTAAATCACGCGAGCTTCCCAAACAACCGGATGGAAGAAATATTTTTCAATGCATACCGATTTACAGAATCTTTAAATTTAGATCCATTGCTCAAAGGCAATAATTTAATTTGAGTGTATATGACACATCATTGTTGAGTTGAGTTTGGGTTAAGGTCTCTTTAAAAACAGAGAAGTCATAGAAAATGGGGCTTGAATCGCAAATTTAATACCCATCACCTACAACTACCAAGAATTTGTAAGGTTTATTTCACTAGATGTACAATAAACAAAACGACTGCCAGAAAATACCTAATGTTTAGCTCGTAACTCCTACACTCTAACATAAGTATACTCATTAGGAAAAGCAAATGTTTCCGTTTTTTGGTCGGCGAAGATTCTGGGCAAAAGACCAGCGTTTGGAATGACGTTCCACGACAAATATAGCGTGATATTTGGATTTCCTCTAAAAAATAACAGAAAATAAATGGGAAAAAGTTCTATCTTTTGTTGAATAAATATTTTACTACAGTTAAAGTTCATCCAACAATGCACAACATTAACCAACAATAAAGTAAATGGTTTGAACCCGGGAGTATCGTTATATGTTTGTAAATGATGATCGTCCAGGTTAATAAAGTCCTGAGAAGGACTGTTTTTGTTGTTGTTGACTGACGTTTCAACAACCTTAGCGGTAGTCATCTTCAGAGTCAAAAGATGACTACCGCTAAGGTTGTCGAAACGTCAGTCAACAACAACAAAAACAGTCCTTCTCAGGACTTTATTAACCTGGACGATCATCATTTACAAACATTAACCAACAATGGTGGTCAAAAAGGGTAAAAATTGTCGCAACAATATTCGACGATGTTGGATGAAACAGTACAGAGTTGACTTCTTTGTAGATTGAAAAAATTAAATAAATAAATAAATAAATTGGTTTTATTCAAAGAAAGCACATTGCAGTTAACTACAACTGAATTGCGTGCTACTTTACATCAATATTAAACTATAAAAAAGAATAATCAAATACAGATCATAAAAGATATGGATAAAAGAGACAAATACTTACATAAAAACTATATTCAAGAGAATTCTTTAATGCAGGAAGGAATAAAAGATTTAAAAAATCTATTAGTTTTTATTAGAGGCAGTTTAAAAGAACGTGTGCACCGTAATTTATTGTTGATAGAACAACGCTCTGGTAAAAAATTTGACAGTCTATGAGAAGGAATTTTAGTAATATTATAGTATAATTAGAAACAGGCATGTCTTCGACGATCGCTTAAGAGAGTCAAATTTACTTTATGTAATCGGTCGCAATGAGATAAACCAGGATAGATTATTGATGTTCGTCTTTATAGTACTCTTTCAGCATTGTCACTAAGGTATTTTGGCAAAGCAAAGTGGAATACTTCACAAGCAAATTCCAGAACGGGTCTAATGCAGCAGCAATAAAAATTAACGACTTTTCTACGTGGAATTTTTGCTCGCTTTAGTTCAACTATAAAGAAAATTCTTTCGTTGGCTTTCTCGATTATGCTTGTGACATGGGCAGATCCTCCAAAGTCATCACTTCAAGAATTTTGTCTTGATGGACTAGAGTTGGGCACCCTACTGAGATGGATGTTATCAAAAGTACCTTTATTTTTAATAAATTGGAAAAGCAGTTCTTTGCATTCTTTAACAATAAGTTGGAACTTATTCTCCTGATTCCACTTTTCTAGTTCATCGCCTCTGCACTGAAATTAACTGATTTCGATTCTTGGAATAGTTTCCGAAAAGGTTGTGTCATCGACATACTTCCAATGGAAAATATCTGTCTGCCTTAGGTCATTAATCATTAGGATGAAAAGCCAGTAGGCCGTTGTCTGTTCGAGACATCTATGGTATTGCACATTGCCTCAAAAGAATGTTAAAACCTGTCCAACCATGAAGTAGAGACCCAAAGTGAATTTGGCATAGCTTCATTAGAAGATATGCAAAAATTCAATCGCTTGGCAAGTTCTTCATGAGACGAGAAATTTTTTTCATAATAATTAGTTAACATTGGTGTATTAATGTCAACAAAGTGTGGTGTCTGCTTTTTCCCAAGAATGTATGGGACAATATCTTTAATTAGAGCATTATATATTCTCCCACCTTTCTTTTGCTATTTTGAAACAACAAAAGGTTCATTGCCAGACGAATCCTCTCGTTGAATTAATATGACTCCGAGTATGTGGGTTTTGTTCCTAGAATCTTCAGCGAAATCGTCATTATCGTACACGAGGCAAGTAAGTTTATTTTTTCTGCGCCTTTTGGAAGGAAAGAATCTGATTTCACAGATAGCTTAGCTAACTCTGTTTCATAAGTCTAAATGGCAGAATGGCCAAATCCATTTAAAAGTTGCCAGACTGCCATAACCAGTGCTAAGGACTTTGGAGTTTGTTTTTTCCCATTCGACGCAATATACAATATGTCTTGGCAGATTGATAGGACTTTTGTCATATGCGAATCCTCCAACTCAAGACGAGATGAAATTTCTGGATAATCTGAGAAACCTAACATCCAAGCTATAAAATTAAACAATACAACTGCGACCATCTTTAGAACTTGGTCTGTTGAAAGATCGACAGCCGATGGTGGCAAACATGGATCCATACCCAGTACTCCTTTTATAACATTTTTTAAAATCATCGCAACATCATAAAATTCTTTCAAATTGACTTCCGTATGGTGAAATATAGGCTGAATATTTGCTTCTTCGTAACCATCACTTTCTTCCTCTTCATTATCTGCTTTTGCACAAGTTGCACAATAAAACATGTTTATTTCGTCTGACTATGTTTTTATCACCACTAAGCAATGTCCGTTGTGATATTCGTACATGTGCACGCCAGATCTTGTGGATGACAGGAGCGCTCGTTTCACTTTGTGTGAATGCATCAATAGTATTTGTCTTTTTCTGTATTCTTTTTCCGGCTCTTTTGACTTCTGTTTTATCACAGAAACGAATAAAGCATTCCTTATAAAAATGCACTTTGGCAATTTCTTCTCTCACAGGCTCTGTCTGGACCCAGCGATCAACGTTTGACTTGTTAGGAAACGTTTGCCGCAATTTTACTAGGTTCCCCATTCAAATGAATTGATTGTATGCATGCCCACTTAATTCATCGATTGTATGCATGCCGTTGATTGACACAGTTTGCCTGATTTACTATCAAAATGAATGAAACATTCATCCATTCTCTTGATTTGCTCTTTGTGACTTGCAGAATTGTACTCAGAAAACAGTCAGAGTTAATAACGATTTAATTTTATAGTTTATCCTTATATATTCTTCAGCATTGCGTGACTTTACAAATTAGTTGTGCATGTATGACGCTTAAACACACCAAAGCGGGAAGACCGACCTTTCTTATCGCTTTGGTGGGTGTGCGCGTCATCTTGCTTAGCTTATTTGGCTAACTATCAGGCAAAGCTAGAATATATATATTATAAAATATTTATATACCGTATATGTTAATTTCCGTATATTTACGAGTGTATACATTTTTCAGTCGGATAGGTGGATCTTCCCGATTAAGCGCGTGCACGCATTTCCGACACAATGAGCATCAACATATGTTCCTGTTTGTGAGTCAACGTTTCATGAGTATGTTGAAGGTACTTCAAGTAAAAATGTGAAAAGATCAACACACTGCGGAATTTAAGATGGCGCTTAGTCGATCAAAATACCCAAGTTTGGTTTTACATTGTGGAAAAAGCAGCGCTTTTTGGCGTGTGGAAACAAAGATATTTGAAATCAGCGCATTCGAATCTACTACTTTCCGTTGAAATACTTTAGCACCGCGATGGGGGCGACGAAACGAAACAATTTCGTGCCAGAGCTAACGGCCTAAAGGGACCTAATTTTGTAACCTGTGGGATACTGTTTGGAACCAGACCCCATTAGGAGAATACAATTTTTTCCTAATTTTACACGTTGTTTCCCATCGCATAGAAAGTTAGTTATCCAATTTATGATAAAATTCGGAAGAGTAAGTTGTTGAAGTTTGTTAATCAAAATAGAGTGGTCAATCAAATCAAATGCTATTCTATAGTCAATGAGTAAAACTTGCACTGAGTTTCCAGTACCATCAGTGGCTTATATCTATTTGTGCAACATACTAATAAGCGCATTTGTTGAGGATGATTTCGGTATTCCTCCCAACTGATAAGGATCAATACAATTTAGGATAGCGGGGCCAACGAAGTTTTCGATAATGAATTCTTCAGCCAGTTTTGATAGACAATAGGTTAGAGACATTGGTCTTAAGTGATTATTTATGTCATTTACGACGTTTTCCTTTGGAACAAGGATGATATTTGCTAACTTCCATGAAGTTGGTATTATTTGAGGGCGATAGGAACAGTTAATTAGAGTACAAATTGAACCTGCTAAGATCTCAGCATATTCTTTATACATAAAATTTAGAAGCTTTGAAGCTTTCAGAGATTTTCATTTATTTAATGTCTGCCATGATGTGTTGCTACATCAGGAAACTGTTCACTCTCAAATTCATTACTGCATAAAATGAAAGGACAAGATTCCTGCATGGGCTCGAGAAAAGCATTGTTGATGGCATTGGCCAATTCGACTGGAGATAATAGTTCTAAATTTTCTGATTGAATACAGTCATGCAAACGTGAGTGAGATGTTTGACCGTTGATACGTTTTCCTTCCCGCCACCAGTGTCTTGAGTTACATTGTTTTAAAACATCTACGTTTGTTTTATAGTAAAGGCTCTTACATGTTTTCCTTTTTCTGTTATCAATGTTTCGATAATATTTAAACAAGGATTTATTTCCAGTAAAATACGCACGTTGACGAAGTTTTATAAGATGCCGGAGATATTCACTGATCCACGGGTGATCATTAGAGTGGTACTCAAAACGTTTTTCTGGCACGCTAGATGCATAGCATGGTTAAATTTTACTACTTTTTAAATGCAGTTGGGAAAAGCCAAACTTTGTCACACGCCTGAGTTAGCTGCGTAGTTGAATGTAAATACTTTTTAACTATATAGCTATACAAAAAGCGTAGCTAAAACCCTCCCCACCGGCATTAACCATAACGACATTCTGTGAAATAGTGAAAACAGAAACTATATTGTACTTTTTATGCGCAAGCCTCGAGGTTAGCAAAGATCTCTGATGGAAATAGTAAGGTGGACTTCTAATGGTTCATTTCAAAGTAAAATTGTTGCAAATAATAACTATTTTGTAGTGGGAACTAAGAACTGTACTACCAAGAAGCAGTTTTGAAATGACTTGAGATAGAAAATGACACAGTTAAAAAGCAACGCGTGTCTGGAGGTCAATTTGCGTGTATTGCAAGCGCTAAGCTACAATTTATGCAAGAGTTGTTAAATAAACATGTTTTCCGAAGTCTTTTTTTGATTCTGTTCAAAGAAAGAATATTTGTAGAAAGTATAGTGGCATTAAAGGTGATGCGGCTTAATCTTTTTACTGTGAATTATGATGCTTCCTATTGAATACCTATTTCGAATTGGAAAATATCATTGTAGAAACTGTTAAAAACGATGACATCGTTGATCGTTCAATTCATACAAATCGGAAACACTTCAGAAGCATGCTTCAACATGAAATATTTGTACGTACATCTATTTACAGAAGCCCTTAATTTGGGAGGATGTGACGAGTATTATCATATATTATCTAACTACATTTTCAAAGCCTATCTCATGTAAGTTTGAACTAAAAATTGCGTTTTTGTACGTCCACGGCGGAGGAACACTAATAATAATTGTTTTCGGTAAAAATAAATTTACAAAACTGATGTTTGTTTAAAAGTTTATGTGCTTTTCTATTCTGCTTTGAAACCAAAACGCTTTCGTTTTTGGCACATTTACAGACATACCAAAACAAGCAAAAACAGGAAAATGCCCTCTATTTATGGTTGGCTATGGCTTCCTTTACAAAAATGTAATTGTCAAAAAGTTGTGTACACTTGGTGTTAAGTCTCATTTGTGAAAGTTTTGTTTGCCAAATTAAAACAAAAAAGAATTTGTGTTTTAGTTTTGGAGCTTGGTAGTTTGTACAAGTTATTTTTTCTGTTCCATTAGCCGTGTGTTTACAATGCGTAGAAAGACTGGGCTCTACTGGCTTAAAAATACCGACTGACGTAGCCTTCCATGTATTTAGTTCAATGATTGCAACACATAGGGTTAAGTTATGGCACATATTGCTCAAGATTTAAAAGATTTTGCAAATGCGTGCAGGAACGCTATAGGAATCCAAATCACTGATTGTTTTGTGTTTTTCCTTTTTAAGCGTCGATTATTTTAAAACCTTCACCAACTGTGAAGGTTCTAAAAAAATCAACGAGATTTCAAAGCTTAGCTTATGCTTAGCACAGCATCAAGAACTGTGCAATATTTTAACCCAATGTTTTTCAGTTGTTTATTAGCAACGCCATTTTCGTGCGCAAGCTATTTCGAAAGTGCCTCTGGGTAACACAATTCTTATGCTAAAAATGGTTACTATCTGCGACACTTTACATGCAGTCATATGAACCATTAGAAGTCCTATAATCAATTTCCACAAAAGATTTTTAAATTCTTGCGCACACATGAATCTGGCAACGTTTTCCTTACAGTTCTATTGTTTTTTCACACCCTGTGTAGAAATCTGACTTCTCCATCAGAACTGGTTCAGGTAATTCAAATACGTACTTTAAACCGGAACCATCGTCAAAGTAATAGTATTCCGAGTTCATATTCTTATAATTAAGGATGGCATTTTCTCCACGCTCGATAATTTTATCCCACAACACCACTTGATTCAGTTTCTAAAATACACACAGTAAGAAATATGATTACCTTCGTTAATCATGTCAAACACAAGAAAAAAGTAGAACAAAAAATACTGGCAGTTGGTGAAGAACTATTTACATTATAAAATATGACAGACTTTTTTAGTAGATCAGAAACATTTGTCAGCATGCAAAAAGTTTGAAAAAATATAAATTTGTGTCAAGAATATATGTTCTATGAATGGCAAGAAATCAAAAAATTGCTATGGAATCTGAGTAGATGAGGTATATAACTTGGGCGTAGAATTCGAGATACACCACTTTCGCTATTTAAGAGATTTTTCGATGATCTTGTGATTGTTTTCTCCCACAATAGTTCAAATATGTACTTATTAGAGCATTTGCAAGCTATAAAAAGAGTTTACAGCGCATGTATCACTTGCATTTTTCTCCGTAGAGTATTCCGCAGTCAAATAGACAAATAACATTTTTGTGTTCCAGTCAAAGAGGCCAGTTAGATATACCAATGGTTAAGAAAAAGAGCAGTATAAAAAGCAATGCAAGAAGTAAACTATTAACTCCTATTCATAAACTGAGTATGTGAAAAAGAGTTCAAATTCTAACTGTAGGATGTTTTCTTCACTTTCTTAGACATAAACTTTTAAAAAGATATCAGCTGATATATCAACATTTACTATCCCCAAGTCATTCAATTCTCTTCCAACACTGAAGTCCTTCACATGTTTCCTAGAGAAGAAGAAATTAAAGCAAAAGGTGAAAGTGCACATCACTCACTATTAGTTTTTCGGTTTTACGGCACGAAATAGAGAATTAAAATGAACACTACTAAAGTTAGCGATCGTGTTAGTAAATACTTTAGACATTCAAACACCAGAAAATGGTATAGCTCATGGTTTAAGACATCTATAATGCGAAAATCGGTAACGATATGCAGATAAACAAGATATGAATATAAAAAAATCACATTGTCAAAAAATAGAAAAATGCTGGTGTTGGGCACATGCAGGTGTTGATTGCACTGAAAAAAATCAAACATAATTTAAATCTACCAAAGCCTTTCATTCTTTCAGTGTAATATACATGAACTGGAAAAGCGTCGAAACCAGATATAAAAACAGCGTAGTGTAAACGAAGGGTCACTGGTACGAAAAATGAGCATCAAGAAACTTTTTTTACGTTAATACCAAAAGCAACATTTAATAAGCCCCCTAGCGCCTTTTTTATTTGCATCGATGTGTAATTTCGGTTCTATGGGCGTTCAAAGTTGTGAAAATTGACGTACACCACAAAAATTTCTGTATTATTGAGTTTATACAAGTTGAATTCTTGTTCGTCATGAAAAGTCGTGACTTCATAGTCTACATGATTAACACTTGCTGTAAAATTTACAACTTCACCAGCACGTCACTACGTAGTCACATTAATGAAGCTGCTCATGTGCAACAGGTAAGTGCTACAGCAGCGTCGGGCAGCATGCGATCAGTCTAGATTCACAAAAATTTTGACTTTTGCATATTTTATACAGAAATCTAATTCAATCCTTCGTATAGACATTCTTATTTTTAATATTTATACGTATTGTTACTTATTCCTGATGATTCAATGTGTGCATAAAATTATTAACAAGTTACATTGTATCGACAACAATCAATAACTTAAAATTACTATTGAAATGAAATAATAAAAAATTAGTAAATTCAATTGTCACATGTTTGAAGGACTATTGGTGTTGGTGTTGACAGATGTTTTGACAACTTTAGCTGGAATCAAACTTCAACGTCAACTTCATATCTTTAAGAAAACCTTACTTTTTTTTAATTGCTAGATTTGGCCTATAATTGCCTGTCAAAAGCTTGTATAGTAATAATTTGTGGCTACATTGAGATGAGACTAAGATTTATAACATCAGTGCAATAGGTCCATTGTAGCGAATTGTTGCTCTCCAAACTCACTAGCTAATGTACAATGCCTTCAACAAATCAATTCAGATTTAACAAGCAATATGCTAAAATTTATATGTTCCCTGACACTGAAACCATAACAAAGTAAGCCTTTTCTGCAATTCTCTTTGGACAGTATGATGTCTATAAATTTCTAACTCAAAGCTATCTTGCCAAATTTGAAAATTAAAATCTTAGATATATTTGTACCACAAGGCCTGACTGCAAAGAAGGGCAATTGCCGCATCAAAAAATAATTAATCGACAAGTTTTAGAGCCCTTCAGTAGGGAGAAAACAACAAATTCAACACAAACTATGGTCAATTTGGGTCTGAGTCCATCCCCAGGATATTTTTGCACCCCTGAATTGACATTTTCAAGTATTTTGTTCTTGAGATTTTTAGGAAAACAGAAGCACATTACTCATTAGACTACTTTCCAAATTATCATTTTACACCTTGTAATTCTTCATTAGTGCCAGATTGCATTTACTGTCATTTGTTAAACTTTCAATTTACATTGTATTTCGGCGTATCCAGGCGTACAGTTCACAGGGAATACAATCCAAAGGACTGTATCAAACATTTAAACAATGAAAAACATGTTATTCAAATATTTTGTCGTTTTTCCATACAAGTAAGACATATTTTTCTACAATAATTATATAAAAGTTATAATACATCAAAACATAGTCACTTACACAACATGTTTCACTGCTTTCAAGTCTACAGGCAGATTGTAATCCTTAAAAAACGTAGAAACAAAACATCCAAACGTTAATAACGCCAAAACAGTCAGTGTAAAGGCAAAAACATTATTTGCCCGCGAAAGAAACGTATTCATTTTGCGAGAAGATGAGAGAGCAGAAGAAGAATAACAATGGCACTACCGGGAAGTTACCACAGGATTCACGTTTAGTGTTTGTAACCGATGTTGCCACTCCATTATTTCACATTTCACTACATTGGTGATTAAATTTCACAAGTTTGGTCACTTTCTTGTCCATTTTCATTCAATGGTTTCACAACACGACAGGATTTTTTGAAAATGACCTATATTTGTTTGCTTTTTGTTGACGACACGCAGAGTGTCATTTTTAAAAAGTAATAAATTGTAATTGATTAGAATGGCCTTTTATTCTCAACCATATCAAAAAAATTAGAGAAAATTACGTAGAGTACATCCAGAGTTATCACTTTATAAGGCAACATGAAATTTATGTTACAATTTTCGAAAACTTAGCTTTCTCATAGAGCAACTTCCTGTTGCATCTTTTTCTATGACAAATAACAAAATATTTTGTGACGCAGGATGCTACTTATTTGTGCAAAAATGACATTTGAAAATACTAGTCAGAAGAGATGATCAGGACAAGCAATGAGCTTGGCTGATTTGCGCCATTTTGCAATTTAAGTGCACTTTTCCTTTTGATTATGAACCATTGTTATGAACATAGGCGGCTCAAAAAATCACTTAAATAGTTTAAACAAACGATAATTCTCCCCATTCCAAAGTGACGGACCGTGCGCCGCGAATTTTGTATTAATTTATTGTATCTATATTATATATTTACCTAAGGTAGGTAACTATGATAGCAGATACGAACACATTACATGCCTTTATATAAAGTAATAATACGAAAAACCAAACAAGAATTCAAAATAATAATTATATCACTAAAAATAGATTATTTTTTTTACATGAATCCATGCTTAGCTTTTAAAAAGACGGCGAAAATCCCCAAAAATACGGGTGAGTTTTTACACTTGTTTGTAAAATTTTTCTGTCTCCATGCTGGATGCCTCATTTTGGTACATACGTCATTGTTTTCAAAACAACACTTAAGTGTAGCTGCCTAAAACAATAAAAACTTAAATTTTGGGCCAATTCCAGTCGTTCTGAAACAGTTTTAACGTAACTTCTCATAGTCATTGTTTTTTGTCACTGGCTATTAACTATATACTGAATTCAAAGAAAAATATTAACTTGGCTATAAGAACGTACTATGGCTATAAAGTAAAAAATGCTGCTACAACTAGTGATTTTATAAGGTGAAAATTTAACTACTTCCATGTTAAAAAACCAGTTTTCCTTAGAGAAGGAATCATCTTTAGCGTAAAAATAATTGTTTTTCACTAAAAACTGACACAATTTTCAATTACAATGATGTGTTCCGTACAAAACTCGACTATACATATATGACTGTTCCGTAAAAAAGCTGCTAGTTTTGAAGAAAATTAAAAACAATTGTCGGAAATTATGTAAATAAATTATGATTGTTATTTGAGACTAGGAACTTATCGTTAAAGCGGAAAAAGGAACTTATGATTATTGAGTATTTTAGAAGGGTCAAATTCATCTGATGCGCGATATATTTTTTGCTACTTTGGCTAGCAATATTGTGATACATCACACAACATCATACTATCACACTCGAATGACGTAATGTCCGCAGTGTCGCATTCGTCTTTCTCCCGAAAATACTCGATGAAAACTCTCCTCACTGACAATTTATTCCATTCCGTTTATTTTTACGTCTTAATACTCAATAATTCGAGCGAAAAAAGTTTGCAAAACGCTTGCAAATATCGAGCAAGAGTCTGTCATTATACTTTTTTATATAGCGTTCGTCATCGTTTGTTATCTTAATGGCACTCCATTAAATTACAGAACCGTGCATCATAGTACATATTAATAAATCCCAGACACTGACACTACAGGACACGACTACATCAATTACAATACATCACACAGAACGATACTGCCCTACACTTAATCACACAATACATCACACTACATCACAATGCATCAAACTACATCACAATGCATCACACTACATCACAATGCATCACAATGCATCACAATGCATCACACTACATCACAATGCATCACAATGCATCACAATGTATCACACTACATCACAATGTATCACACAACATCACAATGCATCACACTACATCACACTACATCACAATACATCACAATGCATCACAATACATAACACTACATCACAATGCATCACAATGCATCACACTATATCACAATGCATCACAATGCATCACACTGCATCACAAAGCATCTTTCTCGTACACATTGCTTTTAATTGAACCTTATTGATGCAAATTCATCTGATGCGCGATATATTTTTTGCTACTTTGGCTAGCAATATTGTGATACATTACACAACATCACACTATCACACTCGAATGACGTAATGTCCGCAGTGTCGCATTCGTCTTTCTCCCGAAAATACTCGATGAAAACTCTCCTCACTGACAATTTAACCCATTCCGTTTATTTTTACGTCTTAATACTCAATAATTCGAGCGAAAAAAGTTTGCAAAACGCTTGCAAATATCGAGCAAGAGTCTGTCATTATACTTTTTTATTTACAATTTTGCATGAACAATTATATAATATGTCACCTATAGCAGTGTAGGTAGGTTCTTAGCCAATTGCAATCGAGATGGCATAATATGCATAATAATAGTATTTCCCATGACTTCTGACTGGGAAAAGTCAAAATAATTTCTCACTGGATCACTGGGAAAGCCGAAATCATTTCTGACTAGGGAAAGCTGAAAATATGTCGAAGCGCAGGCGTAACAATTGCCAATCGGTTGACGATTTGCGAAAAGATGTCAACGAGGAACTTCATCAAGAATATGTGGGGTCGAGGATATTAAGTGATATCCAATCTATTAATTTGAAAGTTTGCAATGATCTAAATGTTGATGTAATTCTGTTTGTTCTTGTTTTGAAATATGGGTTGTCACTTGTGTGCTCTATTGCCAATGTTGCGTCTTCTTTGCTTGTACTCCCCGTGAATGTACGCCAAGAAGTGTTGGCTTTGGTATGTCCCAATTTAGAAGAAGAAGATGGAAATGTTCTTTTACAGTCCGCTTCTAAATTAAAAGTTCCTAGTACAACCGATAGGAAGTTGCATGTATTTACACCTCCATGCTCCAAATGTATATTAAGTGCAACCATGATCTTGTGAGCTACAATAAGCCAGTAAAAGTTCAGGTACACGATCTTTCTGGAACTACCGATGGAGTGAAAGTTTCGCTGAGATGCAATCGCTGTAATTTGCTTTTTGGATATTCCAAGTACGGTAATGGGAAAGATGGCTGGATGTTATATCCCGAACAAAGAAAAATGATCGAGGCTACGGATGTCTGTTTTATTGATTCAACTTTGCTTCAGTGGCAGCTGTCACTCGCGTAAGTTACAATATAATCACTTCATTAATTAATGTTAACATAGAAAGTAGATTTTACAAATGAAACAAGTTTTCTATAGTTGTCATTCGTTGGTATCATTTAACGGTTTTTCTGAAGCGTTTAATGAAGTATACAATGGCAGTAAGAGAACGATATGGGGACTCTTCTAGGGTTCTAGAACAAATAGACAAAATTAGGGCGAGAAGTTTGTACGAGCGTACATCAGACGATTGTTCTGATATTTGCAAAGAGCGCGGTAAGTTAAATGCAATTGTATTTTAAAATTAGTTTAAAAGCTATAAATGTATTCTATTGGAAAATAGCTGTGATTCTCATCAGGCTAAGATATCTTCGTAATCAAACTTATAGGATGTGGAAGGCTATGGGTTGCCGATGGAATATGGAAACTAATGTTTCCTCATTGCATGATGCGTAGAAAGGTACTTATCTTTGTTTGATATAACATTACTCCTTTGCTTTTCGTAACTTAATAATATTATATGAAAATGTTTTCAGAATTTTGTAAAAGGTATTCCATTGCTGAACTATCCCAATGTATGCACTGGGTCGCCTCAGCATGGAATGGCATTCTGCGAACAGCATGTGCAATATTTGGAAAAAAACTTCCCTAATGTACCCACTAGTGTGCGTGGATTTTTAAGATATTGTGGTGTGAAGCCAAGTAACATAGGTATGTACTCCAAAATTGTCATGACTATAATCATGCTTAAGAATAGAGTCCGATTTTTCATGATCAATTCGAGATATATTAGAAGAGCTTTTACACTTAATCACAACAGCTCTTGCTTTGGTATATAGTATTTTGCAGGGAAATTGGTACCCCTTTCTCTAAATTTATCTCAATGATATGTGTATTACAGAGCTGACAGAAAATTACTACAAAGAGTTACTCTATTTTATAGGTGAAGAATTGATTGACGACACAGGTCTGCTTTCTAACAATGACGTGTCAAAAATGGACGAAACACCGAGAAAGCTTGATAAAGATCACGACACTTTCCCCGTAGGAAATAGTGCTGTGGAGTCACAAGTTATATTTGTCTAAAATTTGTTTACTTCGCAATATGAAAAACAGTTTTATATTGTAGCTAATCTAGTAGTATATATCAGTGAAACCTAGGCTTTCCTACTAACGTAAAAGTGGTCGTAAATGACAGTGTGTTATAAAGCAGGTTTGTGAATGATGGCATGAATTTGAATTTTTTTAACCTCGTCCATATTTTGACGAAATTTCAATACATTGGTACCGATAATTAATAACTTATTATTTTTTTAAGATAGAAAAATAACTTTTTATGACAGCATTTGGATTATAGTTATACTTGCACGCGTGATGGTGGGGAAATTGTTACTTTGGATTATTTTGATTTTGCGTGCTTTTTCTTTGCCTTCTCGCACTTTCAATGTTTATAAAAGTGTAGCGTCAAAAGTTTCAGGCCTCAAGCCTCAAAGTCATTCTTTTGTAAATGAAAACCAAATCTCTTGACAAATTTCTTGTCGGTTAGAACTTAGAAAGCCTTGTGTAGGTGTTTTATTCTTTTTGAACAATGCATGGAACAAAAAAGCTGTGTATTGTGTGTCGTTTCTAAACACAATTGATAACTAGTGCTAACGCTAATTTGTACCATATAGGCAATGCTGAGTTCGTTAATAATGAGCCAGATGCAATTAAA